GGAACGTAAAGGACCTCTTCAAGAAGAACTGCAAACCACTGCTCATTGAAATAAGAGAGGACACAAACAGATGGAGAAACATTCCATGTTCATGGTTAGGAAGAATCAATATCGTGAAAATGGCCATACTGTCCAAAGTAATTTACAGATTCAACGCTATCCCCATCAAGCTACCAACGACCTTCTTCAAAGAACTGGAAAAAAATACCTTAAACTTCATATGGAACCAAAAGAGAGCCCACATAGCCAAGTCAATTCTAAGCAAAAAGAACAAAGCAGGAGGCACCACACTACTGGACTTCAAACTATACTACAAGGCTACAGTAATCAAAACAGCATGGTACTGGTACCAAAACAGAGATATAGACCAATGGAACAGAACAGAGGCCTCGAAGGCAACACAACATATCTACAACCATCCAATCTTTGACAAACCTGAGAAAAACAAGCAGTGGGGAAAGGAATCCCTTTTTAATAAATGGTGTTGGGAAAACTGGCTAGCCACGTGCAGGAAGCAGAAACTGGATTCCTTCCTGACACCTTACACTAAAATTAACTCCAGATAGATTAAAGACTTAAACATAAGACCTAACACCATAAAAACCCTAGAAGAAAATCTAGGCAAAACCATTCAGGACATAGGTGTAGGCAAGGACTTCATGACCAAAACACCAAAAGCATTGGCAACAAAAGCCAAAATAGACAAATGGGACCTAATCAAACTCCACAGCTTCTGCATGGCAAAAGAAACAGTCATTAGAGTGAACTGGCAACCAAAAGAATGGGAAAAATTTTTGCAGTCTACCCATCCGACAAAGGGCTCATTTCTAGAATTTACAAAGAACTGAAACAGATTTATAAGAAAAAAACAAACAAGACCATTCAAAAGTGGGCAAAGGATATGAACAGACACTTTACAAAAGAAGACATACAGGAGGCCAACAAACATATGAAAAAATGCTCATCATCACTGGTCATTAGAGAAATGCAAATCAAAACTACATTGAGATACCATCTCACGCCCGTTCAAATGGCGATCATTAAAAAATCTGGAGACAACACATGCTGGTGAGGATGTGGAGAAATAGGAACACTTTTACACTATTGGTGGGAGTGTAAATTAGTTCAACCATTGTGGAAGACAGTGTGGCGATTCCTCAAGGACCTAGAAATAGAAATTCCATTTGACCCAGCAATCCCATTACTGGGTATATATCCAAAGGATTATAAATCGTTCTAATATAAGGACACATGCACACGAATGTTCATTGCAGCACTGTTTACAATAGCAAAGACCTGGAACCAACCCAAATGCCCATTGATTATAGACTGGACAGGGAAAATGTGGCACATATACACCATGGAATATTATGCAGCCATCAAAAACAATGAGTTCGTGTCCTTTAGGGACATGGATGAACCTGGAAACCATCATTCTCAGCACACTCACACAAGAGCAGAACATCAAACACCGCATGTTCTCACTCACAGGCAGGTGTTGAACAATGAGATCACATGGACACAGGGAGGGGAGCAATACACACTGGGGTCTGTTGGGGGGAAATGGGGGAGGGACAGTGGTGGGTGGGGTGTTGGGGAGAGATAGCATTCAGAGAAATGCCAGATATAGGTGAAGGGGAGGAAGGCAGCAAATCACACTGCGATGTGTGTACCTATGCAACTATCTTGCATGTTCTTCAAATGTACCTCAAAACCTAAAATGCAATTTTAAAAAATGACCTTATAAGTGATCGTTTTATTTGGGAGGAAAATAATTTTACTGTCTACAATACGTGTAAGTAGTTGTAAAAACATTATTTAACCTATAAAATATTTGTATTTTTGTTTGCTTTGAGACAAAGTCTTCTGTTGCCCAGGCTGTAGGGCAGTGGCACAATCAGCTCACTGTAACCTCAAATTCTTTTTTTTTTTTTTTTTTTTTGAGATGGAGTTTCGCTCTTGTTACCCAGGATGGAGTGCAATGGAGCGGACTCGGCTCACCACAACCTCCGCCTCCTGGGTTCAGGCAATTCTCCTGCCTCAGCCTCCTGAGTAGCCGGGATTACAGGCACGCGCCACCATGCCCAGCTAATTTTTTGTATTTTTAGTAGAGACGGGGTTTCACCATGTTGACCAGGATGGTCTCGATCTCTTGACCTCATGATCCACCCTCCTCGGCCTCCCAAAGTGCTGGGATTACAGGCTTGAGCCACCGCGCCCGGCCTGTAACCTCAAATTCTATGGTTCAAGCAATCCTCCTGCCTCGGCCTCCTAAAATGTTGGGATTACAGGTGTGAAACACCATGTCTGGCCTATAAGATATTCTTATCTGTACTTTATATATGAGGAAACTGAGAGGTTACATAGCTTAAACAAGGCTAAATAGTAAGAAGCAGAACTGAAATTCACATTTAGGTTTGCCTTCCTACAAAGTCTACCCTCTTGCATTATACTAGGTTCCTCTCTCATACCTAGAGCCTGGGCAACCCTTTGCATGAATTCAAAATTTATTTTTAAAAACGCAGTAAAAATTGTGATCCTCCATTCCACAATTAGAAGTTGGTTGATTATAAAGCTATGAAATAAAGGCTTACAGTAAGGAGCAAGGGTTAACTTATCTCTGTGAAGATCAGAGTGGTATTTCTTTTTTTTCTTTTCTCTCCAGCCCCAGAAAGCTAAACAATAACTCCAATATTTATGTAAGACACACAGAATAATAGGAGATCACTGTCTTACAATAACTAACCCTGGGACTTAGCTCAGTGCTTGGGACATAGTAAGTGCTAATATCATTTTAAGTGATATTAAAATAATAATTTTAATTGAATGAATAATTGATATATTAACTAAATATGACTTTTAAAAACACTCAAGAATTAGAAGACTTGATTCCTTTTTTTTTTCCCCCCAAGACAAAGTTTCACTCTTGCTGCCCAGACTTGAGTGCAGTGGCATGATCTCAGCTCACTGCAACCTCCACTTCCTAGGTTTAAGCAAGTCTCCTCCCTCAGCCTTCCGTCCGCCATCACGCCTGGCTAATTTTTTCAATTTTCAGTAGAGATAGGGTTTCACTATGTTGGCCAGTTTGGTCTTAAACACCTGACCTCAGGTGATCTGCCCACCTCAGCCTCCCAAAGTGCTGGGATTACAGATGTGAGCCACTTCATCCAGCCAAAGACTTGTAATTCACCATTTGTAATTTATAAGCATAAACAATTCTGTTGCCTTTTTTTTTTTTTTTTTTTTTGAGACGGAGTCCAGAGTCCCGCTCTGCCACCAGGCTGGTGTGCAGTGGCGGATATTGGCTCACTGAAGCCTCCGCCTCCTGGGTTTAAGCAATTCTCCTGCCTCAGCCTCCCGAGTAGCTGGGATTACAGGCATCTGCCACCACACCTGGCTAATTTTTGTTTGTTTGCTTGTTTTTTGAAACGTAGTCTTGCTCTGTTGCCCAGGCTGGAGTACAGTGATGCGATCTTGGCTCACTGCAACCTCTGCCTCCTGGATTCAAGCAATGCTCCAGCCTCAGCCTCCCGAGTAGCTGGGACTACAGGCGCGTGCCACCATGCCTGGATAATTTTGTTTTTTTGTTTTGTTTTATTTTTATTTTTAGTATATTTTTTAAAAATTAAAAAAATTAGCTGGGCATGGTGGCGGGTGCTTGTAATCCTAGCTACTCAGGAGGCTGAGGCAGGAGTATCACTTGAACCCAGGAGGCAGAGGTTACAGTGAGCTGAGATCGCACCACTGTACTCCAGCCTGGGCAACAAGAGTGAAACTCCATCTCAAAAAAAAAAAAAAGTAATTTTCTCTGATCAGCTATTTGGTTACTCTGAAATATAATTTGTACAGAAACGGCAGGGTAAATGTTTGATTCTTTGCCTTTATAAAGAGTAATGACTTAAAATCTAGCAGCCTCCAGTAATGACCAATTTTTTTATTTTTTGGTTTTCCTTTTTTAAATATGAGGAACTCATGAACTTTTAAATATATATGATATATTTCAATGAATCTCTGTCATTCCTTTTGATGCTCATATTATCCTGTCTTTTGTCATTGAGGGTCCCTTCAAATTTGCTCCAATGTCCTTTTGACACAGGCCATTTGTGAGAAGATATCCCAAGTCCATCTGCTATATTTTCTATCCGAGACCTGAAATCAGCCATTTTCCCCAAGGAATCCTGGTTCCTTTTAGTGAGAAATGATACTTAACAAGAGATCACAATCTGGACACTACACATGCTTCTTTGCTGCCTGGCTGACATTGTTTTCTAAGTCTTTTCAGTGGATATGGTCAGAAATTGTGCATATTTAAGGAAATATTACAATTTTCCTAAGAGGTAAGTGTTAGTCAGAAGGGTCTTGATCTCCTGACCTTGTAATCCACCCACCTTGGCCTCCCAAAGTGCTGAGATTACAGGTGTGAACAACCACCCCTGGCTAATTTTTGTATTTTTAGTAGAGACAGGGTTTCACCATGTTGGCCAGGCTGGTCTCGGACTTCTGACCTCAGGTGATCCACCCTCCTTGGCTTCCCAAAGTGCTGAGATTATAGGCATGAGCCACCATGCCCAACCAGCTTTCTTTCTTTCTTTCTTTCTTTTTTTTTTTTTTAGAGACAGGGTCTGGAATTCAGCTGGTGGATAAAGAAAAGAAAAGAAAAAAAAGAGAGACAGGGTCTCTCTGTGTTTCCCAGACTGGAGTGCAGTGGCACCATCACAGCTCACTGCAGCCTCCAACTCTGGACTTAGGCAATCCTCCCATCTTAGCTTTCCAGGTAGCTAGGACTACAGGCACATGCCACCACATCTGGCTAATTTTTTATTTTTTAATTTGCAGAGATGAGGTCTCACTATATTGCTCGGGCTGGTCTCAAACTCCTGGCCTCAAGTGATCCTCCCATCTCAGCCTCCCAAAGTTTTGAGATTACAGGCATGAGCCAGCCACTGTGCCCAGCCAATTATATCTTTGCAGCAATTTGAGTTCAAACAGAATTCACTTACCTCTTAGGAAAATTGTAAGAGACTGAAACCTAAATGGCTGGTTGTTAGAAGATCCTTGAAAAGCATGAAGTGCCTTTGTGGTAATTATTTCAACTATTTGTTTATCTTAAAGCAAAGAGCAAAAAAGAATTAAATATTAGAATATATACTCAATTTAATTTCCACAATGAAATATCAGACACTATTTTAAAAATTGTGATTACAAATGCATATTACCACCAAGTACTCTAAATTTTCTGTCTTCTTGAAGTGAAGATGCACACAGATCACACAAAAAGTCATTTCTTATTGTTGCAGATTCTGTAGCACCAGGGACATGCACTCTTATATATTGAAATCCTGAAAGAAAACAGTGGTAAGATATATTTGCTTTCAGATTTAGCTTTTTATTGTTGTTATTGTTATTTTTTAAAGCTTAAGCACACAATTTCTATATGTGGCAGTGAGAAGCAGATGACAGATTTCCACCTGTGGTATTTATTTGCAGAGTGTTCAGAGAGAAGAGAGGAGGGTCAATCAACCCAATGAGAGGCGGTGAGTATAATGGTGAAGTCCTGGAGAAGGACTAAACTAATGTTAAGCCAAAGGATTGAGAGAGGACATTAACTGTTTCATTCACAAAGTCATGAAATCATGTGTGAAGAACAAGTACTTCAGCAATACAGGTGTACTTGTTAGGATGGCGGTGGGGGAGAAAAGGAGAAAAATGCATTTCAAGATTATGCAAAGTAAACATATAAACATTAGGAGATATAAATTTTTATTTAATTTTTTTCTATTTTCTGAGTGTTTCATAACTAATTGTAAATATGATTTAGGATTAAACAATAAATTACAGGCATGTGTCACCATGCGGCACTTATTTTTGTATTTTTTGTAGAGACTAGGTTTCTCCATGTTGCCCAGTCTGGTCTCAAACTTCTGAGCTCAGGTGATCCTCCCTCCTTGGCTTCCCAAAGTACAGGGATTACAGGCATGAGCCACCGTGCCTAGCCAATTGCTTAATGTTTTGACTTTACATTTTAATACTTACCTTTTGAAAGAGGGCACGCTTCATCTGAACAAAGGAATCTTGCACCTTGTGTATACTTGGTTACAGTTGTCATTGCAATCACAATTCCTTGCATCATATAAAATCTCTGAGATGTATAATCAAGTGGAAACTCACAAAGATCAAGACCATAACTTGGCAGGGGAGGTAAATGTGATAATTTCAGCACTATATTAATCTAATAAGAACATAAAAATGGTATTAATGAAAATTGCAAATCCAATTTGACATGTATCACAATATAGTAAGTATATTATAGAGTAAATCAAGTAATGATATATTTGTATTCTTAGGAACCAAAATTTTAAGCATTAGAGAAATGACATTCAAATATATAATTAAAGAAGTAAAAATCTGATAATCTAAGATTTTAACTGAAAATATCACTGTGAACTTGTAATATTTCCTTAAATATGCACAATTTCTGACCATATCCACTGAAAAGACTTAGAAAACAATGTCAGCCAGGCAGCAAAGAAGCATGTGTAGTGTCCAGATTGTGATCTCTTGTTAAGTATCATTTCTCACTAAAAGGAACCAGGATTCCTTGGGGAAAATGGCTGATTTCAGGTCTCGGATAGAAAATATAGCAGATGGACTTGGGATATCTTCTCACAAATGGCCTGTGTCAAAAGGACATTGGAGCAAATTTGAAGGGACCCTCAATGACAAAAGACAGGATAATATGAGCATCAAAAGGAATGACAGAGATTCATTGAAATATATCATATATATTTAAAAGTTCATGAGTTCCTCATATTTAAAAAAGGAAAACCAAAAAATAAAAAAATTGGTCATTACTGGAGGCTGCTAGATTTTAAGTCATTACTCTTTATAAAGGCAAAGAATCAAACATTTACCCTGCCGTTTCTGTACAAATTATATTTCAGAGTAACCAAATAGCTGATCAGAGAAAATTACTTTTTTTTTTTTTTGAGATGGAGTTTCACTCTTGTTGCCCAGGCTGGAGTACAGTGGTGCGATCTCAGCTCACTGTAACCTCTGCCTCCTGGGTTCAAGTGATACTCCTGCCTCAGCCTCCTGAGTAGCTAGGATTACAAGCACCCGCCACCATGCCCAGCTAATTTTTTTAATTTTTAGAAGAGACGGGGTTTTGCCATGTTGGGCAGGCTGGTCTCAAATTCCTGATCTCAGGTGATCTGCCTGCCTCAGCCTCTCAAAGTGCCAGGATTACAGTTGTGAGCCACTGCGCCTAGCCAGAGAAAAATACTCTTACAGAAGAATTTCAGCTAATTCAGAGAGAATGCTAAAATTAGAAAAATTGCAATTTTGCAACTCCTAATGAAGTAGCGGATTCTAGGCAATGAACATCAATGGCAGCTAAAACCATTAGGTCAAAGTTGATGGGAAACTGTATATTGGAAATATCGGAATGACATGACAGGAACCCACTAATCAATTGTGACACCATTAAAAGTGCAACAATAGATACTATATCCTCCTGATATAGCACAATATGTAATATATTACACCAACTATTATATATTCTTGTCAAATGATTTGAATCTAAATCTAAAATGCCTTTACAGCCAAATTCTATTTTAGAAATATGAGGTTAGGGAAATAAGATAAATAGCACTGCAAGGAAGCAATTAGACAAATCAAGATTATGTAACATAGGACAATTAGTCAATGGTATAAAAAGGGAGGGAGAGGAAATGGCTCTAGATAGAAAGAGACTTAGTGAAATGTAAGAACCCCTTATGATGTGTGAACCTTGTTTTGGTCCTGATTTGGAACAAACCAATTGTAAGATACTCTTGAAACAATTGGGTAAACTTAAATGTAAACTGGATATTAGATAATACCAAGGAATTATTGTTACTTTTGTAGAAGGCATTCTGGTTATATAAGAAAAATGTGCATAATTTTTAGAGGTTGATACCAAAATATGTAGGGATGTTGATACCAAATTATGTCTGGGATTTGCTTTAAAATATTTCAGAAAAAAACACTGATGATGCAGGTATGGAAAACTATTGTAACATTGAACCCAAGTGATAGATATATGAAGGTGCATTGTATTATTCCTTTTACTTTTGGGTATATTTGAAAAGTTTTATTATAACATGCTTAATGCTACACAGGGTAATACAAGAAATAAAGATGCATATGTAAGATATTCTATTGAACTTTGAAAAAAATGTACCCTTTTTAATTAAAAAAAAATTATGAATATAGAACTATTTTCTTTACAAGTCATCATGCAAATTTGTACCTGAGATTCCTTAGTTAAATTTAACTAAAACTTACTTGGGTTTCAGTCTGCAATTGTCCAATTAATGAGAGAGTCTTAACAGCAATAAAACAGACCTGTAATTTCAAACAAAAGAAAAGTTACCAAAAATTCTGTGTGGCATAAAGTTATTTCTCTTTTTGACTTACTGATTGAAAAACTTCAGCAGCTTTTAAAGGTTGGTGTAAAATGTGATTTCCAAGCTCAGCATCTAATTCAACAACATCAGATGGATTTATTAAAATTTTGAATCGATAGACAGCATAGCTTTGTTTTGAATCTGTGAAAATACACAAATGTAAAAGTCAGGTTAGTTATGTGTAGGAGTTTATTTGAAACTTTAAAAAATAACCCACCTTTGCTGAACGTACCGTTGTAGTACTTGCAATCATCTATAAACTTTTGGAGGCCTCCACTTCTGTCAAGATAGATGAGGGCCGCCTCTTTCATTTTTAGATTTGACATTTTCTCCTGATTAATGACTCTTCTCTATTTCTAACTGATTAAACCACAATTGTTGGTAAAAGCTACAGATGGCAAAACTCATATAAACGATGTGAAAACCTAGAAATAAAATTAATTTTATTTTTGAAAATCTCTAATAAGACTATACAAATTATTAAAGTTGAGAGCAAACTAAAACTAAGTAAAATTTCCAACTTAAAAAAAATTCCTACCCAAAGGGAAGCAAAACTTTTGTTTTCTTTTGCCAAATAGCTTTTTTTTTGAATTGGAGTCTCGCTCTGTTGCCCAGGCTGGAGTGCAGTGGCACTATCTCAGCTCACTGCAACCTCCACCTCCCGGTTCAAACGATTCTCCTGCCTCAGCCTACTGAGTTCTGGGATAACAGGCACATGTCACCCGGCTGGGCTAATTTTTGTATTTTTAGTAGAGCCAGGGTTTCACCATGTTGGCCAGTTTGGTCTCCAACTCCTGACCTCAAGTGATCCACCTGCCTCAGCCTCCCAAAGTGCTGGGATTATAGGTGTGAGCCACCACACCTGGCCTCATTACCAAATATTTATTTGGCACCTACTATAGGTTGGATACTAGATTGTCCTAGGCACTAAAAACACAAAGATGAGTAAAACATGGTCTCGATTCTTCAGAAAGAGTGCAGTGAGAGAAGATATATATGTAAACAATTACATGGCAATTTAAGTGCTGTAATAAAAATATGAATATACTAGGTAGCATGAAAGGAACAACATAGATGAAATATTTCACAAAATTTGGGGTCATCCTTGTGTATGGTCATATTTTCTATTATTTTAAGACATTTTGATTGAAGACAGTGGGGTCATAGACAAGAAGCTATGAGTTCTACTTTAAGATGACATTTGATAGATTGACTATTTCACTAATTGGAGGAGAGGTGAAGAGAAGGAGAAAGTGTTCCAGAGATAGAGGTGGTCACCTCTCACCCCCATTATGAGTTTTACTCTACTGGATCCACACATCCACTACGTGGAGTTCAGGCTACTTTCCAAAGAAAAATAATTGAGACTGTCCTTTTTGATACAAGATAGAAGTGAAACTTTAGCGTTCTCTGTGGCCATAAGTACAATGATCTCAGTGTCATGTTCAGCACATCACATCTTTGCTTCACTAGAACATTAGGTTTTTGTGGTTGAATGAAGGGAGACTATTGATAATTAAATGGTTGGGTGAGGCCAGATTATGTATCTTTTGAAGTATATGAAGATCATACAGGCAAAAGGAAACCATCTAAGTTTTTTAAGAGGGGGAATATTATAGTCATTTTATTTTTTGAGACAAGGTCTCACTATGCTGCCCAGGTTGGAGTGCAGTGGCATGATCCTGGCTTGCTGCAGCCTCTACCTTCCCAGCTCAAGCGATTCTCCCTTCTCAGCCTGGGACTACAGGCAGGCGCCACCACACCCAGCTAATTTTTAATTTTTTTATGGAGATGGGGTGTTACTTCGTTCCTAGGTAGCTGTCTCGTCCTCCCAAAGTGCTGGGATTACAGATATGAGCCACTACGCCTAGCCCTTAGTGAGATTTTTATTTTACAAACCGGTGCTTGCTGCCAATGTGGAAAGCAGGCTGGAATAGTGGGAGAGTTGATGCTCAGTTTCTACCTCTTGCAATATTCTTAGAAGGTGGATGGCCTGATCCAGGGCATGAGGAACAAAATGGAATGGAGGAGACCGATTCTAGAATTTTAAAGATTGCACGCTGGTCCTGGTGATCAGCCTCCAATACGGAGAAGAGTAATCGAAAGCTAAGTGGGTTTTTAACATGGGTGTGGGTGGATGCCGCTGCTCTAAGGGAAACACGGAGCCCAAGGAGAAGCGTCAGGGAATGGCAAGGAAAAGCTCCCGTTAGCTGTCCTGACTTTGAGGGCCCTTGGGACTCCCTGATAGATATAAGCAGGAGGGGGCCATAAATCAGGGCCTGGAGTTCGGTGGCATCAAAGGAGCCAGAGCTGAGTCTAGGTGTCACTGCGTAAAGCGGAGGCCCTGGGAGCGGACGCGTTTTCACGGAAGTAGATTAAGTCGGGAAAAGAAAGAGAAGCCTGTGGAAAAGCGTTAGGTGAGAGAACAGGGATAACATTCGAATTCTCTGTCTTCCCTTAGTCTAACGAACATCGAGCGTTGCTTCACGTGGAGCAGGCGCGGATTCTGCCTTCTGTCCTTGCCCCGTCAGCACCGGGGATGAACTGGTGAGGGGAAGACCGCAGGAAAACACCTCACAACCAAAGCGGAAGAAAGCGAGTCCAGACTCTGAGGACTCCTCCCACCGACAGCGGCGACCTCGCGGAGTGGGACCCCAGCGCTGTGTGCTTTGCACCCACCCTGACTCCCACAAAGCGCGGCGATTACCTGCCGCCTACAGCGATGGCGAAGCGGAGCCCTAACACGCATGCGCGCACCTCCCGGCCGTTGGCCGCGTGCGCGGAGGTTGCCGGGACCGCGGGCACCTTCCTGTCAGCAGCGGAACCAGCTGGGCTTGTTCCCCACGGTTTAATTTCTTCACTCTTGCTCTATGCTAGCGAAACAAAGAAAAGACAGGGCTACGTTTGGTTTTTTGTTGTTATCTCAAGCTGAAGGTGTTGATGTTTGTTTTAAAAATTCAAGGCCGGGCGCGGTGGCTCAAGCCTGTAATCCCAGCACTTTGGGAGGCCGAGGCGGGTGGATCACGAGGTCGAGAGATCGAGACCATCCTGGTCAACATGGTGAAACCCCGTCTCTACTAAAAATACAAAAAATTAGCTGGGCATGGTGGCGCGTGCCTGTAATCCCAGCTACTCAGGAGGCTGAGGCAGGAAAATTGCCTGAACCCAGGAGGCAGAGGTTGCGGTGAGCCGAGATCGCGCCATTGCACTCCAGCCTGGGTAACAAGAGCGAAACTCCGTCTCAAAAAAAATAAAATAAAATAAAAATATTCAAAACTCCACTTCAGGTAATGCAAAATGTCTAGTCATTTCGGAAAATATTCCAGTATTCCCTCAAAGGACTCAACATAAAGTTACCCTATGATCCAGTAATTCCACTCCTAGGTATTTATAAATACACCCAAGAGAACTGAAAACATGTTCGCATAGAAACTTCTATACGAATGTTCATAGTATTATTCATAGTAGCCCCAAAGTGGAAACAACCTGAATGCCCATCACCGATCAATGGATAGCTGTGGTGTAGCCATGCAATGGAATGGTTTTCGTGGTAAAACGGGATGAGGCACTAATAGAGGCTACAACATGGATGAACCTTGCAAACACTATGCAAAGGGAAAGAAGCCAGACACAAACGACTACACGTAGTGTGATTCGGTCTATATGAAATGTCCAAATAGGAGAATCTATAAAGAGAGAAAGCAGATTTGTGGTTGCCCAGAGGTTGGTTGAGAATGCAGAATGATTGCTAATGGGTATGAGATTTCTTCTTCTTTTTAAATTGTGGTAAAATATACATAAAATGTACCATTTTCACCATCCTAAAGTGTACAATTCATTTACACTACCTACGTTCACACTGTGCACTCATCACCACCATCTGGTTTGCAGAACTGTTTTCATCTTCCCAAGCAGAAACTCCATACACATTAAACAATAACTCCCCATTCTTCTCTTCCTCATCCCCTGACAACCATCATTCTTTGCCTCCTTGAATTTGACTTCTCTGGGTACTTCATGTAAATAGAATCATACAGTATTTGTCTATTTGTGATAGGCTTATTTCACTTCGACAAACATCTTCAAGTTTCATCCATGTTGTAGCATGTTAGAATTTCCTTCCTTTTCAAGGTTGAGTAATATTCCATTGTATGTGTACCATATTTTTTGTTGTTCATGAATTCACACAGGTTTTCTTTTAAAAGTGATGATAATGATCTAAAATTAATTGTGGTGATAGTTGCACAACTCTGAATCTCCTGAAAGCCAGTTAGTTGTACATTTTAAATAGATGAATTGTACAGTACTTGAATTAAATCTTAATTTTAAAGCTGGCCAGGCATAGTGGCTGATGCCTATAATCCCAGCACTTTGGGAGGCCAAGGCAGGTGGGTCACTTGAGGTCGGGAACTGGACACCAGCCTAGGCAACATCGTGAAACCCCATTTCTACTAAAAATATAAAAATTAGCCAGGTGTGGTGGTGCATGCCTGTAATCCCAGCTACTTGGGATTAGTAATATTTTATTAATTAGCAGGCAGGAGAATCACTTGAACCCAGGAAGCAGAGGTTGCAGCAAGTGGAGATTGTGTCATTGCACTCTAGCCTGGGTGATAGAGGGACACCCTATCTCAAAAAATAAAAATAAAAAAATAATGAAACTGTTACCAAAAAACCCCAAACCCTTGAAAACTGTGCCTGCTTCTCGACCATTGGTATTCTTTTTTTTAAGACACCGTCTACCTCTGATACTGTCTACCTTTTGACTGGAGTGCAGTGGCCCAATCAGGGCCCACTGCAGTCTCAATCTCCTGGGCTCAAGTGATCCTGGCACCTCAGATTCCCACGTAGCTGAAATTACAACCGTGCCTGGTAAACTTAAAAAATTTTTTTGTAGAGACAGTGGTCTCATTTTGTTTCCCATGCTAGTCTCAAACTCCTGGGTTCAAGCAATTGTCCCACCTTGGGCTCCTGGAGTGCTGGGATTACCAGCGTGAGCCACCGTGTCGGTCCTCAACCTTTAGTGTTCTTGATGCAGTTAGCAACTCTGCTCCATTGCATTGGGTTGGATCATTTTCCATGAAAAATAATTGAAATCATCCCTTTTCATATTTAATAGCGGTGGCAAAACACCTCAGAGTTTGTTTCTCTGGGAGAATATCATCTATTTTACTTGTGAGATTAAAGAAAATACTTTTTTGGGGTAGAAATCAATTTACAACAAGGAGGCTGTCCAAATTGTCTTGAACTACAATTCTGTGGTAATAACTACAATTTTAGATGAGAATAGGCTATGGTCTGGTAATGGCTGTTGTATTTTAAAGTAGCATAAATTTTTCTGGAAGGTATCCATATATTTTAAAGTGTTTTTTTTTTTGAAATGGAGTCTCGTTGTGTTGCCCAGGTTGGAGTGCAGTGGCGTGATCTTGGCTCACTGCAACTTCTGCCTCCTGGGTTCAAGCAATTCTCATGCCTCAGCCTTCCAAGTAGCTGAGATTACAGGCACATGCCACCATGCCCAGCTAATTTTTGTATTTCTAATAGAGATGGGCTTTCTCCATGTTGGCCAGGCTGGTCTTGAACACCTGACCTCAGGTTTACCGCCTGCCTCGACCTCCCAAAGTGCTGGGATTACAGGTGTGAGCCACCGCAACCAGCTATTTTAGTTTTGATTAATTCAGTTCATAGCATAACATTGTTCATTTCTGCACCAAAGTAATAGTTTTGTATCAACCAAGTCCAGCAAAATATACTAATAGATTTTTATGTATTTAATGCATCCTTTAAAATATCTGCATAGTCAGACTTGGTGGTATGCACCTGTAGTCAGCTACTAGGGAGGCTGAAGTGGGAGGTTGCAGTGAATTATGATTGCACCACTGCACTCTGGCCTAAGTAAAAAAGTGAGACTCTTGAAAAAACATGTTAGATCTAAAATCGGAATTTAAAAACCTTAAGAATTCAGCATATATTTTTTTTTTTACACATTGCAAACCCTCTGAAAATGGTAGTGTTATCCAGAGTCAAAATGCCATTGCTACTTATTGCTGCATACTTATAGTACTTTATTTTTACAAAATACTACTAAACAGCAGAAACAAGTTACATGTAATCTGGTAAAATGGCTCAAGTATTTCTTTAAAGGTGGTAGAATTATGAATTATTTGTATTTTTGCCTTTCATATAGCTTTTTGCTTTTAAATATTTTTCATTGAGGTATAATTCATATGCAGCAAAATACAGCTCCTACATATTGTCTGAGTTTTTGAGTTTTGAGAAATACGAAGCGTTTATTTAAATTTTTTTCAAAGCTTTCTTTTAATGTTTAAATTTTATTTTTGCCATGACGTGTTTTCATCTGATCATTAAAAAAATTTGTTTTAGACACAGTCTCACTCTGTCACCCAGGCTGGAATGCAATGGTACCATCTCAGCTCAATGCAACTTACATCTTGTGAGTTCAAGCAATCTTCCCGCTTCAGCCTCCACAATAGCTGGGACGACAAGCGCATGCCACCATGCCTGACTTAACAAGTATTTTAAAGGATGTATTAAATACATAAAAATCTATTAGAAGATTCTTCTGCCTCGGCCTCTCAAGTAGCTGGGACTACAAATGTGCACCACCGCAGCTGGCTTTTTTTCTATTTTTTGTAGACGGGGTCTCACCATGTTGCCCTGGCTGGTCTCAAACCTCTGGTCTCAAGTGACCTGGCCATCTCTGCTTTCCGAAGTACTAGGATTGCAGGTGTGAGCCATCAGGCCCGGCCAGCCTTGTAATATATTTTAAAGTCAGGTAATGTGATGGCTCCATCTTTTTTCTGTTGATGTGATGTATCGTTTATTGATTTGCATATGCTTAACTGTCCTTGCATCCCTTACATATACTTGACATAGGATCAAGTATAAATCCCAGTTGATTATGGTATATTATCATTTTGACTTGGCTGTGAATCCATTCAGTCCTGGGCTTTTCTTTGTTGGGAGACTTTTGTTAATGATTCAATCTTGCTACTTATTACTGGTCTGTCTGGGTATTCTATTTCTTCCTGATTCAATCCTGGTAGGTTTTATGTTTCCAGGAATTTATCCACTTTTAGTGGGTAAGTATAGTTGTTCATAATAATCTGATAATCTTTTGTATTTCTGTGGTATCAGTTGTAATGTCTCGTTTTTCATTTCCAAATGTTTATTTGGATCTTCTCTTATTTTCTTGTAATGTCTCCTTTTACATTTCCAATTGTTTATTTGGGTCTTCTCCTCTTATTTTCTTGGCTAGTCTAGCTAGCAGTTTATCAATTTTATCTTTTACAGGAACCAATTTATTTCATTGGTCCGTTATATTGTTTAGTCTATTTCATTTAGTTCTGCCCTTGATCCTTCTGCTCATTTTGTTTGTTCTTTTTCTAGTTCCTTGAAGTACAGTTAGATTAATTTGTAACCTTGCTAGTTTTTGTTAGGCATTTATTACTCTTAGCGCTTCTTTTGCTGCATCCCACAGGTTTTGGTAGGTCATGTTTCCATTTTCATCTGTTTCAAAATTCTTTTTCCACTTACATCAAAATTTTTTTGTTCACCTAATGGTCAGTCATCCAGGAGCATGTTTAATTTCCACATATTTACAGTCTCCAAAGTTACTCTTAGTATGGATTTATGGTTTTATTCCATTGTGATCTGAGAAGATACTTGATACATTGATTTTTAAAGATTTGTTGAGGCTTGTTTTGTAGCTTAACATATTATCTATTCTGGAGAATGTTCTATGTGCTCATAAAACAAATGTGTATTCTAGAGTTAGAGGAAAGGCTTTCAACTTTTTTCCATTCAGTGTATTAGCTCTGTGTTTATCATATATGGCTTTTATTATTTTTAGGTATATTCCTTCTATGCCTTGTTTGTTGAGGGTTTTTATAATAAAGGGATGTTGAATTTACATCCCTTTGAATAGAAAATACTTGGACATATACTAGACTATATCTATACTATATAGATTTGTATGTCTTGTGATCTGAGAAACATCAAAATTCTATTTGTAATTTGTTCTTAAAAATATACAATACTGCACTTTAATTTTTGCCAGCTTAACTGAGGAATTAATGAATACAAAAAAGTCACAAAAGAAACTACAATTTTTATCGAACAAAAAGTCTCCCAACAAACAAAATCCAGAACTGAATGGATTCACAGCCAAATCAAAATAGTAATATACCATAATCAACTGGGATTTACCCTTGATCCTGTATCAATTTTTTCTGTCCAAATATTTTCTGTTCAAATTTTTCCCCCCTCACACATATAAATAATTCATTTTGTAATGACCATTGTAACATTACCTATTTCAATTTCAAATAATGACAGACATTAGGTGATTTATCTTTTCATTGATTTTATTATACTATATAGATTTGTATAACTTGTGATCTGAGAAACATCAAAATTCTATTTTAAATTTGTTCTTAAAAATATACAATATTGCACTTTTATTTTTGGCAGCTTAACTGAGGAATGAATGAGTACAAAAAAATCATACAAGAAACTACAATTTTTATTTTGCTTTATAATAAGCAAAGAGCTTTGTGTAAAAGCAAAACTTACAGTAGTGCCAAATAAATCAAATATTTACAGTGTAGATATTAAAGTCTTACCTCTAAAGGAAGATTCAGTGTATTTGATATAAATATTATTAACGTAAGAAAAGCACACTGCCACCCCCGCTGCCCAATTCTGAACATTTTCAAGCCAAGGAGTATTGGTAAGAAATGCTTTCATGATTTCTTTCTCAAGACAAACTTGGAAGGGATGCTTGTTCTTGGAGCACCTAAAGTGGGTCATTAAACTTTTACAAGAATGTTTCCTACTTAACTTAAAAATACTTCTACTCTAATCCAAGAATCGGAATTCCAAGGTAAGCTTATTTTTATTTTTAAAAGTTCTTCTGTAGTTTATTTTTTCTTTTTTTAAAAAAATAAATGAATAGAAATGAGGTGTCACCATATTGGCCAGGCTGGTCTTGAACTCTGGGCTCAAGAGATCCTCCTGCCTCAGCCTCCCAAAGTGCTGGGATTTTATAGGCATGAGCCACCATGCCAGCCAGTTATTCTCCTTTACTTTTATAAGCCTGTAAGTTAGTTGGTAGGTTACGATTTTAAGGTCTGTTTCCTGTACTTTTTCTAAGATATACTGAATTGGATACTGAATACACATCCGTCTGATTTTTAACTTTTGTTACATTGTAATAAAACTATATACATTTATGTTGACTCACAATTTGTTTTACTTTTTTCTTTTTTTTTTAGTAGGGTCGCGCTCTGGCACCCAGGCTGAAGTGCAGTGGCAGGATTTCAGTTCACTGCAACCTCCCAAGCCATCCTCCCACTTCAGCCTCCAGAGTAGCTGGGACTAAAGGCAAGTGCCAGCATGTCTGGCTAATTTTTGTATTTTTTGTAGAGATAGGGTTTCACCATGTTGCCCAGGCTCGTCTCAAACTCCTGAGCTCAAATAATCTGCCTGCCTCAGCCTCCTAGGGTGCTGGGACTACAGGCATGAGCCATCGTGCCTGGACTATTATTTTACTTTTTAATTTCCAATTAGGCAAATACTCTAGAAAGCTCAATTTTTTATTTTACCTAACCCATTAGGAAAAGAGCTTTGAAATACCTATTTGCAAAAGCAAATACAAAGATTTAGAATGACTTCACAGCATACTAAAAATTCAAAAGATGAACAGAACATAAGTAGAATATATTTGTAATATGAATATATGACAGACAGATAGTCGTTTTTGGTACCACCTTAAAAAATCCAGCAGTACATTTTATTACCCTTCAGATCTTTGGGAATACTTAAAAATTCCTAACCATTAAACTTTTTCTTTTCCTTCCGAGGAAAAATAATCCACAAAGTTGAATTAGTATTTCAAAAAAATAAATTTCCTTTTGTTACTTCTTAAATGATCTGCAGAATAAAGTTACTCCAAGTGTTAACCTGCAGCCAATGCATTAATTATGCTTTTACATTTTATTCATACCATGAACCAAATATTTCAAACAGTGATTTATCATGGAAAAATACGATTTCTTCTTAAACAACCACGTACCAATTGCATAGTTTTGATGTGATAAGAAAAGTCATAGTAGAGAGTTACAAAGGTCTTAATAAATGTTAGCTGAACTGAAATTGACTGTTAAAAACAGTCTATCTTGGGTAGATGTTAGTGTAAACTTAGAGGGAAAAAACAGTCAATTGCAAAAAAGTTTTCTTTAAAAATAGGTTAATGCTAAGAATAATAGCTTTTAAATTTTGTTTAAAAATAAACTTACTAAACAATATAAATTTTAATCAAAACAGCTCTTTTAAAATGCCCTATTTTTCTTGCACGTAGCAGAAAATACATTTTTTTCATAATTTTCGTCATTACATGTAAAAATGAGGCACTAGTTATACATATTTGAATATAACCACACAAATAGAAGCTTCAGTCCCATCTATAGACTTATTTTGCTCCATGGTTTCTGAATGGCAAATTGTTCACAAAAATAAGTCTTCTGAAGGAGGTGCGTAAGAGAAACCAACAAATGCATCATCTGCCTCCAATACACTGGCATTCACTATAGAATAGTCAGAAGATACACACACAGAATATGGAACTGTTTCTTCTGTAAATGCTGTGTCAAAGTTTCTGATATCATCTGGTCCAGCCTAAAATATCAAAAGCACAGTATTATTCATCTTAGCTTTTCTTTCATTAATTTAGTCTTTTTTTTTTTTTTTTTTTTTTTGAGATGGAGTCTTGCACTGTCATCCAGGCTGGAGTGTCAGTGGGCTCACTGCAACCTCTGCCCCCCAGGTTCAAGCGATTTTCTTGCCTCAGCCTCCCAGAGTAGCTGGGATTACAGGTGCCACCACACCCAGCTAACTTTTTGTGTTTTTAGTAGAGACGGGGTTTTACCATGTTGGCCAGGCTGGTCTCGAACTCCTCACCTTGGCCTTCCAAAGTGCTGGGATTACAGGTGTGAGCCACTGCACCTAGACCAATTTAGTCCTTTATTACAACTCCTTTATGAATTTGTGTGTTTATTCCTGGCAAGGTTAGATGTCTTCCTAATTTATTCCTTTGAAACACTTTTCTGCTTTTCCTTCCTTAACTTTTATTATTTAGGTGAAATATTTATAAATATATTTATATTTATAAATATTATTTATTTATAAATATAAATATTTATAAATTTATTTATAAATATATTTATAAATTTATTTATAAATATATTTATAAATATAAATATTTATTATTTATTATTTAGGTTATCTGTCCTTCTAAAACAGGGGTGACCAATCTTTTGGCTTCCCTGGGCCACACTGGAAGAAGAAGATTGTCTTCGACCACACTGACTAACATGAACAATAGCCGATGAGCTTAAAAAAACAAACAAGGCTGGGCGTGGTGCCTCACGCCTGTAATCCAAGCATTTTGGAGGCCAAGGCGGGTGGATCACCTGAGGTCAGGAGTTCAAGACCAGCCTGACTAACATGGCGAAATCCCATCTTCAAAAAACAAACAAACAAATAAACAAAGAACACACAAAAAAATCTCATAATGTTTTAAAGAGTGTTTAAGAATTTGTGTTGGGCCACCACATTCAAAGCCATCCTGTGCCCCATGCAGCCCACAGACCGTGGTTTGAACAAGCTTGTTCTAACAGTTAAGGTTCTCTTTGAGTCAGGGGAGGAGAGAGAACAGTAAGGAAGGCTCACAAACAGAGATTCATTGCTCATTTAAATCACAAGCCTTTTCACTGATCCCCTTCCTCTCTACCCATCACTGCCTCATTACACCTAAGTTCAGAAAAAGGTCTCAGGTAGGTTTTCAGAATAGCATTCTGCATTTGAGTTTCCATAAAATGCCTGTCCATCTGGTCTCTCAATTCTGGGTGGGTCTGATGAAGAAATGAAGCAGTTATCAGTAAAATTATAATTTGTTTTATCAGTTATTAGGGTCTTGGTTAAAAGAAAGGCAGTGGTTCTTAACTTTCCTTTATAAATCTGATGCAAGCCAATAGACTCTACCTTTCCTATTATCTCACTTTCACCCAGGCTGTAGCTCACTGCAACTTCGACCTCCTGGGCTCAAGAGATCATCCTACCTAAACCTTCCACAAGTAGCTGGGACCACAGGCATGTGTCACTATACCTGGCTTTTTATTTTTAGTAGAGTCAAATTCTCACCATGTTGTCCAGGCTGGTCTTGAACTCCCGAACTCGAGCAATCCTCCCATCTCAGCCTCCCAAAGTGTTGGGATTACATCCGTGATTACGGCTAGAATTACATCCATGAGCCACCATGCCCAGACCCAATATATTTACAGATAAAAACGGATACAAATTCAGGTGATTTATTCTTAAAGTCCATTCCTGAATTTCTAGGTTATTTCTGCTCTACAGGGAAGGGAATCCTTAAAATCAAGTCTAATGGAGGGTGCACTGATAGAAATTCAGTGCAGTTATTATAATCAAAGGATAATAGCCTGGTCATCCACAAACTGAGCAGAGACCACAAAAAACCAGAAAGCTAGATCCTCCCATATGAGAAAATCCCCGCCTGCCCCGCCTCCCCCCCACCTGCCCCATGGACAAAAAGTGCTAGAAATTTTATATGTATGTATGTATATATGTATTTTTTTTTCCTCATCAAATTCTCATACACAATTCTTGAAGCATGGGCTCTTGAACTCTGGCTACAAAACTTGCTAGCTGTAATTAGTATTATTTTTGAGACAGAGTCTTGCTCTGTTGCCCAGGCTGGAGTGCAGTAGCATGATCTGGGTTCACTCAAACCTCCACTTCTTGGATTCAAGCAATTCTCGTGCCTCAGACTTCTGAGTAGCTGGGACTACAGGTATGTGCCACCATGCCTGGCTAATTTTTCTATTTCTAGTAGAGACAGGGTTTCACCATGTTGGCTAGGCTGGTCTCAAAGTCCTGACCTCAGTGATAGGCTCACCTCAGCCTCCCAAAGTGCTGGGATTACAGGTGTTTAATTTGTTATATAAACTATCTCTATGAGCTTGTTTCTTCTTCCATAAAGTAAGAATACTATCACCTACCTCCTCAGGTTGTTGCAAGAATCTGATGTGTTAATAAATAAAATTCCCAGAATCTAACATGTAGAAGGTACTCAATAAATGATGGCAATGTTCTGACTTGCCTTTATAATCCCCTCATGGCTCATGGCTGGTACCAACAGGAATAATACAGGCTGAGCATCCCAAATCTGAAAATCCAAAATCAAAATACTCCAAAGTCCAAAAATTTTGAGCATCTACATTACACTCACTGGAGCATTTTGAATTTCAGATTTTCATATTTGAGATGCTCAATCAGTAAGTAAATTCCAAAATCCAAAACAGAATCCCAAATCCAAAACACTTCTGGTCCCAAACATTTCAGATAAAGGATACTCAACCTGTACTATGTGGTTTTTTAAGAGTGAAGGCTCTGCCTTCAGAGTATCTGAATTCAAATCCTAGTTCTGCAACTTTAACTTAATTTTGAGAAAAGTCATTTAATTTTTTCTGTGCCTCAGTTAACTCATCCATATATATGGAAAATAACAGTACTATCTCATAGGATGTTGTCAGGATTTAGTAAAAGGATACATGTAAAGTACGGAGAACACTGTATGTGAAGACCTACTTAATCAAACCCTAGAATAGCTAACTTTTTGATCTTTGTTAATCTGTCTGGTGAAAAATAGTAATCTGTTATGGTTTAATATTGCACTTCCTCAACCGTCAGTGAGTATAAACTTCTTTTCATATAATTAAAAGCTAGTTGTATTTCTTTTTCTGTAACTGCATATTTTGTGTCTTTTGTCCATGTTTATATTGGTTGTTGGTATGTCTTCCCACTGACTAATAAGAACACTTTAGGTGTTGAAAATTTCCCCGTTTGTTATTTGCTTGTAGCATCTTTTTATGCAGATACTTCTAAATTTTATGTAGTCAGTGCTTGCGTCAGCAGCACATATGCTAAAATTGTATGTAGCCAAATCTACCAACTTTTTTCCCTTCTGGCTTCTGGGTTGTGGGTCATGCTTTAAAAAGCATTCTTCGCTTAAAGATTATACACAAAAATATTATCTTAGGTCTTGCAAGGGTTACTTTTGGGTGCATGGTGTAATGACTCTGGAGTCAGACATACCTAGGTTTTTTGTTTTGTTTTTGAGACAAGGTCACACTCTGTCACCCAGGCTGGAGTGCAATGCCATGATCATGGTTCACTGCAGACAACCTCCCTGGGCTCAGTTGATCTTCCTGCCTCAGCCCCCTGAATACTTGGGACTACAGGTGTGTGCCACCATTCCCAGCTAATTTTTGCTTTTTTTTTTTTTTTTGGTAGAGACAGGGTTTTGCCATGCTGCTCAGGTTGGTCTTGAACCCCTGGGCTCAAGCAATCCACCCGCCCCAGCCTCCCAAAGTACTGAAATTACAGGTGTGAGCCACTGTGTCTGGTCTATACCTAGGTTTTAATTCCTCAGAGGGTTTGGGAACCAAGGCAATGCATCAAGGACCTAACACAATGCTGGGTACATAGCAGGCAGTGCTCTAGAAGTTAATTCCTTTTCTCCCCACCTCTACTTGGAAATGTATAGCATAAATATGTCCTGCTACTAATATGTACCCTGACTGCAATCTGTCCTTTCCAGACCCCTGTATTTTCATAGTAATCCCTTCCTACCACACACAATCCATTAACATTGAACTAATTTAAAAAACCATTAATAAGAGGGATTCATCAACCCAGAAACAAATATTTTCTTTCAGCTTATAGAATTGTTAGAATGGTGCCAGCCTCTCTCCTGGTCTAAACCCACCTCTCAGATATGGTTTCTGAATGACCCACTTGGAGATTGGCCAAGCCACTCTTATCAGAGTTCAATACCACATCGACCTGCTTCAGGGCTGGGCTATGCTACACTTCACTGTTGTTGTTTTTTTTGAGACGGAGTCTTGCTCTGTTGTCCAGGCTGTAGTGCAGTGGCACGATCTTGGCTCACAGCATCCTTTGCTGCCCGGGTTCAAGCAGTTCCCCCTGCCTCAGCCTCCTGAGTAGCTGGGACTACAGGCACACACCACTGTGTCTGGCTAATTTTTTTGTATTTTTAGTAGAGATGTGGCTTCACCATGTTGGCCAGGACGGTCTCAATCTCCCGACCTCATGATCCCCTCGCCTCAGCCTCCCAAAGTGCTGGGATTACAGGCGTGAGCCACCATGCCCAGCCTCTATGCTACACTTTTACTTTAAGGATTATTTGGGGAAACCCTCTAATTTGAAATGTTGGTGAGCCCTCTTCCACCAAGCAGTCAATTTTATTTTCATAGTTTTCCAAAATTTTACATGTAATAAACAGAAATTCCTAAAGTAGGGATTGAGGCTACAGAACTGTAAACTATTAGCTATGCAGAACAGTCAATATTTCAAAAAGGGAGTAAAAAACCTGAAGAAGTTATATTCCAAGAGCTGCCAAAATGAAAGCAGCAACAAAGTAAGTTTTTCTGAGGATTACAGTGGAGGCAAGGATCAAAACCTGGATGTAACCAACATAGAATGAAATGTGAGGAGATGCTTCACAGTAACTTAGAGAATTTCAGATGGAGTGTCAATGAAATCATATCTGCATATGGCTTATTTTGGAGGGTCTTGTTTTGTATTGGTTGTTCTGAAATGGTATAATTAGAAACAAATCTTTCAAAGTATCAAAAACTACTTGCTGATAAATTTTATAGTAAAAAAAGTTTAAAATATACTAATGTACCCATTCATATTAGCCCATTTTAGGTCACTGCTATTATCCTTTCTCTATCAGCTGCTGAGAGAATAAAATTAAGCAACCACTTCTCATTAGGATAAAAAATATTTGGCAGTATAACCTCAACTTTGTGGGCTAAAAAAAAAAAAAAATTCCAGAATGCATTTTAGCCATTGTAAACATAGAAAAAAAAAAACTGCTTCCAGTCTTTTTTTAAAACAGATTAGTTGGGCACATATAATTGAAGTAAATAGTTTATGCAATCTGTTAGATTTTGAAATAATTCCCACTAACTGCTAGAAACATTCAAAATAAAAATGTTGAAGCTTGGCATGGTCAATAACCCTACTCTCCCTTTTCCTAGTAACTAGCCTTATTAAAATATACAACACTAATCAGACTGAAAATCAACTAATTCATTTTATTGATGGAAAGAGTAAGCATCAAAGATAAATTCTGTCAACTGTTTATTCCCCCACAGATGTAATCATAAGTTATTATGAGTATCTGTTTTTTTGCCTCACATTACACATTTATGAATTAATTACACATTACACATATATATGAGTTAATAGTATAAAGCTCATCTTTAATGTTGCTTTTTGCTTTAAACAAATTATCTTTAGGTGAAACATTTCCATCAACAGATTTAACAAGTCTAGCTAACAAGAACATTTTATAATACTACCCTATTGTTTTCCCAAAAAAGTAACAATTTACATTAATATGTTTATATTAACAATGTTTGTTTTGTCTATACCTGCTTTTTTTAAAATTTTATTTTGAGACAGAGTCTCACTCTATCACCCAGGTTGGAGTGCAGTGGTGCAATTTTGGCTCACTGCAACCACCACCTCCCAGGTTCAAGTGATTCTCGTGCTTCAGCCTCCTTAGCAGCTTGAATTACAGGCATGCATCACCACACTCGGATAATGTTTTTTGTATTTTTAGTAGAGACAAGGTTCTCCCATGTTGGCCAGGCTGGTCTTGAACTCCTGGCCTCAAGTGATCCATCTGCCTCGGCCTCCCAAAGTGCTGGGATTGGTCTGCCTGCCTCAGCCTCCCAAAGTGCTGGGATTATAGGCATGAACCACCATGCCTGGCTGATTTATTGAGTTCATTCTTTCTTATACATGCTCCAAAGAAACACTTTACAATTACTGTGCTGGAAGATATTTTTATCAACCTAATCTAACTATAATCTTACTGGTCTCCCTGAAGTTATTAGTTATACTAGACAATCCTAAGTAACATATTTCACAAATATTTAGGTAATGACTCCATTTAATTCAGGTTAGATTCTGAGATCTAGTTTCAAAATTATTATGAACTGCTATTCTGTTTCACTATTTTAGAAAGAAAGATTTGGATATATACTTACCACATTAGGATTAAATGGTGGTGGAATCTTCTTTTGTACAAGGTCAGCCCAGCTGAGTGATTCAAAAAAAGGATGATTCTGAATTTCAAGCTGGAATATTAAAAAAATATATATTTTTACTAATGCTGAAGAATATATTAAGTACTAACTGCATAATTTTATGAAGCCAAACTATTACTGTTTTGCCCCTCAATAATTCTTTTTAGGAACATGTTTATGTTATTCGTGTAGCAAAATAGCAATAGAAAGACAATCAAAATAGACTAAAAGTTACTTAGAATGATCTACTTAAACTTAAGTTATATTCTTTTCAGAGTCACAGTTTCCTCAGCAGTAAAATGGGGATAACGTTTCTGCCCCGAATACTTCAAGAGAAGTATGTTCTAAGGATCAGTGTAAAGTATGGAAGTAAAGTGCTATGAAAAGAATAAAGCACTATAGACGTACAAAGAGTTAGTGTTATTACTGGAGTGGGGGGTAAAGAAATTGGGCAGAGATCTTTATACAGTGGAGAAGTAAAATCAGTTATAAAAAAAAAAAATCCCACTTAGGATTGGTATTACCAAACATTGGCACAGTACTGACTCTAGGTTTTTTCCTGCAAGGTGCCATGGGAGTGTATAAAGAAGGATCCAACCTAATCTGGTGGGTTAAAATAGACTTCTTAGAGAAAGCGATATCTGACCAGAGGTCTGAAAGATGAGTAAGAATTAAGCTAGACAAAAGCATGGGGAAAGCATGTTCCAGAAAGGCTCTGAGGCACTAAAGAGGTTAGTATGGTCAAGAAAATGAGAGTTCAATATGGCTGCCGTGTAGGGAAGGATGGGACTGTCACACAAGGTGAAGCTGAAGAGCTAAACTGGCCGTATCATATCAGGTCTACATTTAACATTTTGGACTTTGCTCTAGGGTCCTAAGAAGCCATCAAGGGGATTTAGTTATGAGAATGTCACAACTGTTTTGTTTTTTAAAGCATCAGGTTGATGAGAGATTTTTTTGTTTTTTTGACCACCACTCTGGGCAAGGCACAGTGGCTCACACCTATAATCCCAGCATTTTGGGAGGCCGAAGTGAGAAGATCGCTTGAACCCAGGAGTTCAAACCCAACCTGGGTATTACAATGAGACTCCCATCTCTACAAAAATTAGCCTGGTGTGGTGGCACATGCCTGTAATCCAGCCACTTGGGGACTGAGGTGGGAGAATCACTTGAACCTGTGAAGTTGAGGCTGCAGTGAGCCATGATCACATCACTGCACTCCAGCACCAGCCTTGGTGACAGAGCAAAACCCTGTTTCAAAAAGAAAGAAAGAAAGAAAGAAAGAAAGACCCCAAAACACGACCCTGGCTACAAGAAAAAATAGATAAGAGTCAAGGCCAGATAAAGGGAAAATAACTACCACCGTAACCAGGCTAAAAATAACAAATGGTAGGAAAAGAGTAGGAGCAGTGGGGCTAAAAAGAAATGTCTGGATATGGGAAAGATTTAGGCAGCAAACGAAACAGGACCTGGCTGTTTGTTGAATATGGAAGGAAGGAAGAGAGAAGAATCAAGAATGCCTCTCAGATTTCTGGCCTAAATAGCAACATGGACAGTGATGTCCTTTAATATGAAAGGGAACACAGGGGGACAACAGCCACACTTGAGGTACTCTCAAGAACTCCAAGTGTGGTGTTGAGCAGGCAGGTATGGTATAAGTCTACAGTTTAGAAGAGAGGTTGAAGAGTACAAGATATAAATGTGTGAGATGAAAACCTATAGATAACCAAAGCCATGGGACCAATTGGGATTGCCCCAGAAGACAGCACAGAAGAAAAGAAGGTTTAGGACAATGACTGGGCATGGCAACACTTGAAGGCTGAAAACGAGCATATACAAGAGATTATGGAGAACAGTCCAGAAATGCAGAAAGAAAAGCATGAGATGAGACGTGTGTGTGCTCCTGTAGAAGCCTATGGAACAGAAGAGGGTTGCAAGTTTAAATGCTGCTGTGGGTGGCATAAGTGGAGGAAAGAAAGTATCCAGCAACTCTACTGGCTATTTTGTGGTAGACTGAGAAATGAAAGAGCCTGGGAAAGGGAGACTGAACAAAGAAAACTTTAAACAAGTTTGGCTAAGAAGGGAAGAAGATAGAGTAGTACCTCGCAGGAGAGTAAGACTGAGGGTTTTTTTGGCTTAAGCAGCAACAGATTTGATAACGTTTAATTACTGACTGGAAGAAACCAGAAAAAAAAGGGAGCAGTTATTTATGCAAAACAAACAAACATGGACAGGATTCCTTACAAATGGATGGGATCCAGTGCACAGATGGAAACAGACCTTTTCTACTACAATAGGAAGAAGGAAATGACAGGATCCTACAGGTGTATATAGGTCTGTGGATTTGATAGCAGGAAACTGAGTTAGCTCCACTCTGATGGTTCTATTTTCCTAACAAAACAGAAGGCAAGATCATGTGTTAAAAGTGAAGAAGAAAAGGAATCTGGGAATTCTGGAGAGGTGTGAAACAGTTAATAAAGAGAAGAGATACGCTACATAGAGAAACAAGGAGTATTACCAGACAGTGGGGAAGCACAGACACAGTTCACAGTGCTTCCAATATGCCCAGTTTGTTACTTTCTTTAGCACTGTTCAGCAGCCCAGGAGATGATAGTTGGATTCATCTAGAGTTGCAATTTCTGTCAATGAATTCAATAAATGGACCAAGGGACAAGGAGGCGTGCAATATTAGCAAGACTGGCTGAAACAATAGAAAGGAAGCTGTTGGCAGAGCTACCAGCTGAACTGGGAGTGTGGGGAAATGGAAGAACAGTAGCAGCAAAGTCTTTTATTCACAGCTCAAGACTGATAAACAGCCTCCAAGAATATCCAAGAAAGCAATTTGAAAGTTCACATTCCTCAATATTTTGTGCGTTTACTGACAGAATGTGATTTAGTGTTCAAGGCAAAAGACATTACATCATGCAGACAGGAGGCACTTAACAAATTCCTGCTAAAGGAAATGATTTAGACCTTTAGGTAGTCTCAAACCCTCAACAAAAAGCTTACTAGTTGGTTAGTCTCTGTGTTATTGTTTCATGAAAATGTTTGTGTTATTTAGCAATAAAAACAGCAAAAAAAAGTTTAGATAGTAAAAATATGCCACACAACACTTTGTAAAAAGAAGCAGAGGGGAATTTGTAATAAATGGAAATCGAGTAATAATAAAATGTGAAAGTGTATGTGGTGGACAGGGCAAAAGTGTATGTAAGAGAAAGTGCTTTTTATACACTTTTATATAAACACAGGTGAAAACTGTGGGGACAAGTATGCTTTTTTCCCATGTTGCTATTTGCCACATATTGTATTCATTCCAATAAATACCATATAAAATAAAGCTTTATTTCCAAATTTTCAATAAGCTTAAATAAAGCTGGAGCTTGGAAAGCTGTTACGTACAAAGTCTTCCTTGGCACCAAGTCGATTTTGCCTGTCTTTTTCTAGGAGTTCTTCCAGAATGGACCAGGCTGTAAGGCTTACTCCTGGCCTCAAACTTAGAGGTTTGTGAAGGATATTGTCATACATCTCAGCAACATCTCGGCAATAAAAAGGAGGCTGGGGGAAAAAAAGCAAAAAAACGTAGTGGTAACCAAATATGCAAAAATGGGGTTAAAATGGCTTTCATCTTGAGGGAGCAGTCAGTTAAGAAATGTATGGTCCTCTTGGTACGTGTAGATATCTGCAGTGCGGTTTCCTGAAGCAAAGAGATTCTGAAACCCAGTACACAACACAGAGCTTACTTAATAAGCATTAACCGAATAAATTAGGGCCAGTTTGTTCAATAGCACCTTGTAGACAGCTGTTAAATTATATACAACTTGTAATAGTATCTGTTTTAGAGAAAACCATCAACCTTATCGTCGGCATGACGACAGAATCGTTGGAAATGCAAGTTTAAGACAGATCAAACATTAATTTGAGGCTTGGGAATAAACTCACTAAAACAAAGAGATTTCTAGTGGAGATGGGAGGCCTGAAGATAATGCTCCTTAGGTACTTATGACGGAGATAATATTATGACTGTACTTTGCAGAATTAAAAATGCCACTGTGACAGCCAAAAGACTTGGGGTATAGCTACAACACAAACATTAGCTAGTTAATCATCTAATTAAAAGGTTTAAAGTAAAAATAAAGGCCAGGCATGATGACTCACGCCTGTAATTCCAGCACTGTGGGGGACCAAGGTAGGCATATCACTTGAGGCCAGGAATTCAAGACCAGCCTGGGCAATACGGTGAAACCGTCTCTACTAAAAACACAAAAAACTAGCCAGGCATGGTGGTGCACACCAGTAGTCCCATCTACTCAGGAGGCTGAGGCACAAGAAGCAGTTGAACCTGGGAGGTGGAAGTTGCAGTGAACTGAGATTGCATCACTGCACTCCAGACTTCGCAACAGAGCCACAGAGCAAGACTCCGTCTCAAATAAGTAAATACATAAAGTAACAACTTTTAAGAGAAAAGATGAGCTGTACAGGTTTCTGCAGTCTAGGAATGAAGGGAGGAAGATTATCATGCTACTCATATTCTATTTGCAAGGCTGTAATATGTAACCTTCAAAACTATTTCCTTTTAAATTAATGTATTCAGAGCACCAGAAACATTTTTCCAAACAGAGAATTACTATATAAAATGTTACTTTTTTTTTTCCAAAAACAAAAAACAATTTATTAGCCAGAGGACTGATCTCTAATATTTTACCAGTGGGTTTGTTTTTACCTTTTACATATTAGTTCCTAGCATTTTTATAAAATAAAAGGAATCTGACCTAAAACATTAAAATTTTCTTTTCACTCTCCTTTGGTAAAAATTAGAAAAGTAATATATGCTTATTGTAACAAATACAAACAATACAGAAGTTGTTTTTTTTTTTTTTTTTTTTTTTTTTGAGACAGAGTTTCGCTCTTGTTACCCAGGCTGGAGTGCAATGGCGCGATCTCGGCTCACCGCAACCTCCGCCTCCTGGGTTCAGGCAATTCTCCTGCCTCAGCCTCCTGAGTAGCTGGGATTACAGGCATGCGCCACCATGCCCAGCTGATTTTTTGTATTTTTAGCAGAGACGGGTTTTCAGCATGTTGACCAGGATGGTCTCGATCTCTTAACCTCGTGATCCACCCGCCTCAGCCTCCCAAAGTGCTGGGATTACAGGCGTGAGCCACCACGCCCGGCAGAAGTTTATAAAATAAAAAGTAAGGCCAGGCAGAGTTGATGACATCAGAAATCCCAGCACTTTGGAAGGCAGAGGCAGGTGGATCACTAGAACTCAGGAGCTCGAGACCAACCATGGCAACATGGAGGCACCCTGTCTCTACTAAAAATATAAATAAATAAATAAATAAATAAGCCAGGTGGGGTGGTACATGCCTGTAGTCCTAGCTACTCAGCAGGCTGAGTGGGAGGAGCATCAGAACCTGGGAAATCAAGGCTGCAGTGAGCTGTGATCACTCCACTGCACTCCAGCCTAAGCAACACAGTGAGACTGTCTCCAAAAAAAAAAAGGTAAAAATAAAAACTCAAGTATACGTAATTTATCTTTTAAAAGATGACTTTTTTTTTTTTTTTTTTTTGAGATGGAGTCTTACTCTGCTGCCCAAGCTGAAGTGCAATGGCATGATCTCCACTCACTAAAACCTCCACCTCCTGGGTTCAAATGATTCTCCTAAGCCTCCCAAGTATCTGGGATTACAGGCACATGCCATATTTTTAGTAGAGAAGGGGTTTCACCATCTTGGCCAGGCTGGTCTTAAACTCCTGACCTAAGGTGATCTACCCACCACGGCCTCCCAAAGTGCTAGGATTACAGCGGTGAGCCCCTGCACCCAGCCAAAATATCTTAATTTTAAAACAGTCAATAAAGTTTCATTAATAAAGTTATGTTTCAAATGAATCAACTGCATTTTATACGTGATGATATATTTTCAAAGTCCTCTAAATAAATTCAAAGGATTCTAAAATATCAAGATGGCACATAAACAGTGCTTAAAGGGAAATCAGGTATAAAGTGGTTTTCCAATATTCTAAGTCAGCAGCATAACCAGAAAACTAGACCTTTTAACATGCAGGTCACAGTCAAGGGCAAAGAAGAGACAGTGTTGGCTTTCAAAGGAATCTATCATTCGAAACTAGCAAGGTGAAACAAATGCTCTGAAAGGTACTTTGTGTGCTGAATTTCACTAAAAGCTCCAGTTTTCTATAAAAAGCAAACAGACACTCAACTCAGGTCTTGGCTGACAGTGGCATTTATCATCAGTGGTAGTAGCATCCTCAGGGCTTTGCACATGGTTCCCAACATGAGGCTGCTGGACACTTAGAGGACCACAAAGGGAGTCCTAGAAACCATTCTAAACATGTCAAAAAGCCTACAGAAAAACATACATTTACTCTTATAAAGATATTTGAGCTAATTAAAATGCTTACACTGTTTACTTTGGGTTGGAACAATATTAACTCAATGTAGTGCTAAAACTTTATTCTTGTTAATCAGAAGCTCTGGACAGCCTATGTGTCTTCAACCCTCGTAAGAACTGGGCAAACTGACTACATAAACATCATTTTTCTTTTCTTTCTTTTTTTTTTTTTTTTTGAGATAGTCTTGCTCTGTCGCCAGGCTGGAATGCAGTGGGGCAATCTTGGCTCACTGCAACCTTTGCCTCCTGGCTTCAAGCGATTCTCCTGCCGCAGCCTCCTCAACAGCTGGGACTACAGGCATCCACTACCATGCCCAGCTAATTTTTGTATTTTTAGTAGAAATGGGGTTTCACCATGTTAGCCAGGATGGTCTCGATCTCTTGACAGTGTGATCCGCCTGCCTTGGCCTCCCAAAGTGCTGGGATTACAGGTGTGAGCCACCATACCTGGCCAAATATCATTTTTTTTCAAGAAAATCTTTAAGACATGGTGTTTCTAGGGAAGGGAACAGAGAGTGATCTCCCATGATGGGAAAAACTGAGCACCAATGTATTAATGAAATCTTATAAAAACAGTAGGCAAAACCCAAATTTATTGATAAATGCAAAAATCCTTTTCTGTCCATTTTCTTAAAATTAGAGTGATGTCTGGGTAAACTGAATGAAATCAGATAATTTTGATATTACAACCAGGTGTCTATTTCTAAAAATGCCAGGGAGGGGGGTGGTGAGACGCCTGAAGTGGTTATTAGTATGACAGAGAAATAATTATATTAATTTAAAAAAACTAGTAACAAAATAAAAAGCATTTCTTTTTGTCCTTACTCTTTTTTTTTTGAAAGTTTCCCTCTTTTGCCCAGTCTGGAGTACAGTGGTGCAATCTTCACTCACTGCAACCCCTGCCTCCTGGGTTCAAGCAATTCTTGGGCCTCTGCCTCCCAAGCAGCTGGGAATACAGGTATGCATCACCATACACGGATAACTTCTTGTATTTTTAGTTGAGACAGGGTTTCGCCATGTTGCCCAGGCTGGTCTTGAACTCCTGGCCTCAAGTGATCCACCTGCCTTGGGCTCCCAAAATGTTGGGATTACAGGTGTGAGCCATGCCCAGTCTCTTTTTGTCCTTATTCCTAATGTAGTTTTGGGTTCATTTAACCAGGCTATTACTGCTCTGCTAGTGTCATCTAAGTGTCCATGAGATTCTTGGGGGGGAGAGAGAGAGAGAGACGGAATCAAATCAAATACACTAGAATAATGAAGTATAGAAATACATACCAATCCGTACAGCATTTCATACAGCACAGCACCAAGGCACCACCAATCCACAGTATTGTCATAGGGCTGTTTTCTAATTACTTCAGGTGCAAGGTACTGTAGAAAAGAATAAAATATTAGATCAACTTGGTAACAAAATTTATAAATAACTGAGAAATTTAACAAATTTGAGGTGTTGCTATCATACTAAAACCAAATGATCAAGATTTTCAATGGGTCAAGTATTCTCATGCTACACCAGTGGTTCTTAGGTAATGTCAACCAGGACACTTTGAAATACATACATTCTGCATTTCTCCTTGGAAACTGTGATGCAGTTAAAATAAAAGAGTATAGCAAAGGTATACTCTATAATAGTAGGTAAAGTAGGTATTTGTGGAGAAAGTCTTTCAAATATTATTTTAGAAGTTCATTTGGTTATTATTCATATTTTCCTCTTAAATAAATAATTTTTATTTTTGAGACAGGATCTTACTCTGCTGCCCAAGCTGGAATGCAGTGGCACAATCACAGCTCACTGAAGCCTTGACCTCCTGGGCTCCGGTGGTATTCCCACCTGAGCCTCCCAAGATGCGAGGACTACAGGCATGTGCCACCACACCTGGCTAGTTTTTTGTATTTTTCATAGAGATGGGGGTTTAGTCATGTTGCCCAGGCTGGTCTGAACTCCTGGGCTCAAGCAATCTGCCTACATTCTTAATATAGCCAGTATAATCTTTTTTTTTTTTTTTCAGTAAAAGAAAAAAAGAATGAATTGCACTCTCATTTAAGAATTATAGTATCAATTATCTAACATATTATTTGGAAAACCTGTGTAAGTTGCAGATGTCTATTTATATTTTAATTTGTAGGAAATTTAGACTCAACACAACTTAACACAACTAAGACATGTCTTACAGCTAGGACAGTAAATCTGAATTTTACATTCCAAAATATATTACCTCTTCACATATGAAATACATGTAAGAAAATAATTTCCTCACAAGCCTTTTTTAAGTGACTTGAACAAATGGCAAAAAATATATATATTTATATATATTATATATATTTTTATATAGAATATATATATATCTTTATATAGTTATATATAATTATATATAGTTTATATATGTTTATACATAGAATATATATTTAAATATAGAATATATAACATATATTCTATTCTATATATATTTTTTTGAGACAGAAGTTCACTCTTGTTGCCCAGGCTGGAGAGCAAAGGCGTGATCTCGGCTCATCGCAACCTCCGCCTCCTGGGTTCTGGCAATTCTCCTGAATGGCATAATATTTTAACTATGAAATCAGTAGACAATAACAAAAAACGTTTCTTCATACATAAACCAAAACAGAATGGTTACAAATATATACAAGAGCTACAGTTAGACAGGAAAAAAGGAAAAGCACATTTCAAATAAATATTTGTTACTTAGAGATACTTTTAGTTAAGTTCTGAACTCAATTAGAAGCCATTTTCTCACACATTTTCAACATTGTATTTTCAAGTACTCCATGATAAAGATAAAATATTACATAGTACCTGAAATCATTATAAATACCTTGGAATTAGAATAGTTTAAAATAAACTGAACTTATGTGTGTGAAGTAAGAATAATAAAGCTTTCACATGAATTATAAAGATTATTACTATTGTCACAAATACGTTTTTTCTTTTTTTTTGCTAGCTAACATTATTAGAAAATGGGATGTGGGATGTTCTAGTTAAATTCTTATTTGTGATTTTTTTTTCCACATCCACTGCTTTATTCTCTTCTGGTAAGTAAACAATTTTATTACAGAAGATTTCAAGCATATAAAAAAATTCAGAGAAACCAATAAACTGCAACTGAGATACAGTCAAGTGCTAATTTTTTGCCATATTTGCTTTAGCTTTTATTTTATTTTTTTTGGAGATGGGGTCTTGCTCTGTCACCCCGGCTGGAGTACAGTAGTGCGATCCCAGCTCACTGCAACCTCCATCTTCCGGGTTCAAGCAATTCCCCTGCTTCAGCCTCCCAAGTACGTGGGACTACAGGCATGCGCCACCATGCCCGGCTAGTTTTTGTGTTTTCAGTAGAGACAGGGTTTCACCATGGTGGTCAGGAAGGTGTCGATCTCCTGAACTTGTGATCTGCCTGCCTCGGCCTCCTGAAGTGCTGGGATTACCAGGCGTGAGCCACCATGTCCAGCCACTTTAGCTCATTTTTTAAAAGAAAAACAGCTTTGTTAAAATATAACACACAATTCACCCATTTAAGGTGTGTGATTCAATGTTGTTAACATATTCACAGAATGAACACTTTCATCACTAATTCATAATTTTTTTAAAGAATTAGAAATATAATTTTCTAAAAACAAAAACAAAAAATATAGTTAACTGTGTAAGAAAATCTAAAGTAAACTTTTAACATTAAAAACAAATAAATACAATTTATCTTTGTTTGATTATTCAAAAGGGTCTTGCAGCATCTAACAATCACAGTTAAAAATACCTAACTACCAAGCATGATTATCAGATATTTCCAGCTGGCTGGGAGCTGAAATGACAGTTTTTATTCTACTTTTCTTATTTTAAATTTATATATGCAATTTGTACTTCATATTTGCATTTTATACATGATTACATGAATGACAAATGAGATATATTTCTTACCTCTGGTGTCCCACAAAATGTGGTAGTGGTGTCAGAAATAGCAATTCCTTCTTTACAAAGCCCAAAATCTGTTAAGACAACATGTCCCTGACAAATACAGGGGCAGTAAGACAAAACAATGCATAAATATGAATTGACAACTTTTCAGTATTTCTTTTCTTTTCTTTTCTTTTTTTTTGAAGCAGAATCTCACTCTGTTACCCAGGCTGAAGTACAGGGGTGCGTGCAATCTTGGCTCACTGCAACCTCTGCCTCCTGGGTTAAAGGAATTCTCACGCCTCAGGCCCCTGAATAGCTGGGACCACAGGCACGTGCCACCTGGCTAATTTTTGTATTTTTAGTAGAGACGGTGTTTTGCCATGTTGCCCAGGCTGGTCTTGAACTCCTGACCTCAAGTGATCTGCCCGCCACAGCCTCCCAAAGTGTGAGCCACCACACTTGGGCTATAAATTGACAATTTTTAAAACCCTTTATTTGGACATAATTATAGATACACATGAAATTGCAAAATAGTATACAGAGGAAATTGTCACTGGTACAATACTATTAACCAGACTGTCAACCTTATTCAGTTTTCACTTTTTACATGCATGCTTTGTGTGTGTGTGTAGCTCTATTAAATACAGATGTGTACATTCATGCAATGACCACCACAATCAAGACACAGAACTGTTCACCTGCAAAGGAACTCTCTCATGTGACTCCTTTATCTTGCACTCTATATCCCCTTGGACCCTGTCAACCACTAATCTGTTCTCCATCTCTACAGTTTGGTCATTTTGAGAATGTTATATGAATGAAATAATGCAGTACAGAATCTCTGAGACTTTTTTTGCACTAAACATAAAAACAACAACAAAATTTGAGAAGTAGTAGATTTATTTTAAAAGGGAATACTTACCACTGAATCCAAAAGAATATTTTCTGGTTTCAAGTCTCTACCAAATTAAAAGGGAGGAAAAGCAAAACTGAATACAAACTGAAATAAAATATTCTTATATATAATTTTTACAAGTATATTTAAAAATTGTACCTGTACACTATTTTGATGGAGTGTAAGTAACCCAATGCACTAGCAATTTCAGCAGTATAAAACCTAGCTCTGTGCTCAGGAAAGGACCGTTCTCTTTGCAAGTGGAAAAAAAGCTGTAAAATTGGTTGAGGGTGGGAGAGAGAGAATGTTAGGATCATTCACACATAACATTAAACAAATACACTCTGTAAATACAAAGTAGGAACTGTTTTTTGTTACTTTGAATGTGAGCTAAAAATGTAACAAGGCACATAACTGTGACTCCTCTTTATCCATGTCCCCCATCTAAAACAATCATTCTCTCTCTTCAACCACGTGTCTTTGTTTACCCTTGCTAATGTCACTCATCTCCCATTTACTACTCAATGCAGTCCTGTCCTCACCCTTCCAGGCAACTGCTCTGGAAAAGATTATCAATGAAGACCAACGATCTTGATATTGCCATGTAATTATCTTACAGGGCCTTTCTGGACTATGTTTTCCATTTGAAAACAACAAACACTATTCAGAGATTCAAAACTAGTGCCCAGCAGAACAAATATAACCCATAAGAAAAAAAACATATATATATATCCCATAGATACTAATTTGCCTGAGTCAAAAACTGTTTTTCAAAAAATCTGAATTAGTTGATAACATTAAAAACTGGGAATTTGGGGGTAAAAATTCAGTTTTACTTTAAAAAAAAAAAAAAAAGAAGCTCTGGCCCATTAGGCCTACATTTCACAGCAGCAGAAACTGGCTGCAGTTAAACAGCAGCTGGACTCTCTGGTTCATTTCTTATACGTCCTAATTTTTAATTTATTTATTATAACTTGGCCTTTAACTAAGGTTACTGCCTGGGGGAAGTTTCCACTGGATCTCTTGGCTTCTAAGACAATCGTCTCTCCTTGAGTGTTGGGGAATTCCATCTCTGCTCCTTTCTGGCCACAGAAAATAGAGGGATGACAGAGTTTCTGCCCTTGGTCCACTGTTATTCTTTTTCCAAATACCCTTCCCAAGTAACTTTATCCATGCTGATGATTTTAACCACCACCTCTATGTTGATGTCTCCTATGTGGACATTTCCCAATGATTTTGACACACAAAATCAATGAAGAAGCTGAGACTCAGAGAGGCTTGCTTATCTGTCAAGTGTCATGAAACTTATTTGATTCTACTTTACTCTAAAAAATATATGAAGTAGTATAGTAAATTAAGTATTCATATGTCAAGGTTAAAATATTCTAAGTATGAACACTGGGGGTAAATAAGAGTAATAATGTATGGAAACCACATTCCTGCCTCTTCTATCCTTTCTCCTCATCTTTAACCCTGTCTACCTATTGCCCCACTCAACTTCTCCACCACCACCCTGGCATTCTATTATATTTTATTCTCCTTTTTTCATTATCTTGCATCTTTCAGATGACAAGCCTACTTCTTTCAATCTTTGCCACTCAGTTTATGAGCAGTCACTGTATAAAAAGGTCTCAGAAGCAAAGCCCTAAAAGAGCACAAAGAAACCACACATAAAGCAGGAAACCCACAGTAGGAGCTCACCTGCACTTAGATGGCTCACATGAACATTTCAAAGACACAAGGTGACACTTAAGAATGGGCTTTGCAGTCAAGATATCTAGGTGAAATCCAGGGCCTGACACTTACTAGAACACTGGGTCATTGAGACAGTTATTTAACCTCTCTGAACCTCAATTTTCTAATTTATAGATAAGAAAATTTCATTAAATGGGCATAATAGTGTTTTCTGAAACAGTTGTGATTTACTGATATAATAAATGTAAATTAACTGCAAAGTGCCAGGCCTCAATAAATTCTCTTTATCTGTCAGCACTCAGGCACACACAAAATTAAATGACAACCTTCATGGTGAAAACAATGGGGGGTCACCTGCATCACTGAATCAGGGTGCCTGAGAGATACATAATCTTGCCTCTGCACTGAAGAGTCTTAAGATACTTTTTTTTTGGTTTTGGACACAGGGTCTCACTTTGTCATCTAGGCTGGAGTGCAGTCGTATGATCATGGCTCACTGCAGCCATGACCTCCTGGGCTCAAATTATCCTCCCATCTCAGCCTCCTGAGTAGCTAGGACTATGGAGGCATGCCACCATGCCCAGCTAATTTTTGTTATTTTTTTGTAGAGATGGGGTCTTGCCATGTTGCCAAGGCTGGTTTTGAACTCCTGGGTTCCAGCGATCCACCTACCTTGGCTTCCCAAAATGCTGGGATTACAGGCATTGAGCCACCACACCTGGCCTTAGGGTGCTAAGGGACTTTTGTTACAGATGTAGAAAAGTAAATAAGCACTCTTTTTACAATCTTCCCCCAAAATGATCTAGGTGTGTCTGACCACCTTTTGGTTTTGCAGAATATTAACTAATTTTCCTTATAGTTCCTTTATTCTACAGTTAAATGCACTACAATAATGTTGAAATAGTCTTTTTCTGCTCTGAGATTGAAGATCCCTTTGTAAAGATATGACAATACCTATTAGTTAAAATACTTTTAGACATTCACAGGTCAAAGATCAAATAAATTAGGAAGGTGTGAGGGTTGAGAAGTCAGCTGCCTAGATCCTGGGATCAGGCTGCCTGAGTTCAATCCCTCCCTATGATACTAACCACATTACTTCTACAAACTACCTAGCATCTCTGTGCCACAAGTTCATCTTAAATAATAAGACTGTTGTGAAGGCAAAATTATAAGTACACAGAGCCAGAGTAATGGACACTAATTAGTACTCAATGGAAATTATTACTGTAATTATTATCCTAATAGCAGCATTTCCCAAAGTGTATTTCAATGTCCATCTGAATCAGAGTTTTGTGTAATACTAAAGAGATTGGTTGAAACAAAAAAGGGGACTATATGGTTTTAAAAAACTATCTTAAGATATCCTGGCTTTGAGGAGGTCGAGGCTGCACTGAGCTGTGATCACACGATGCACTCCAGCCTAGGTGACAGAATGAGACTCTGTCTCACCAAAAAAAAAAATCCTGACTTTAAGGCAGAATTTCTCAAAGTCTTTAACATGCTGAGGCAAACTGAGTATCACAAAGAAACAGATATAACATGAAACATTTCCAAACAGACTTTATCATAAAGCCCCCTTTTTTTTTTTTAAGAAAAAAAGAGATGGAGTCTCATTCTGTTACCCAGGCTTCAGTGCGATCATAGCTAACTGTAGCCTCAAACTCCTGGGCTCAAGTGATCCTCCTGCCTCAGCCTCATGAGTAGCTAGGACTAAAGGTGCAAGCCACTGAGCCCAGTCCTACCCCACAGAACCCCTTATTAGAGGACTATCTCATCTGATTAATAATTTGCACATCTTGGAAAATGAGAAGCTGGAGTAATATTTGTATGCAACTGTTGAGACAATTGCCTAAACTACGCATGATGTTTTATTCTAATATTTCAACATGATATCCTTGCTATATAGTTTAGTGACACATCTGTCCATGAAGCTAACAGCTTCATACCAAGGTTCTTTTTATGAACCTTCTCAATTATGCCATATGCTTAAAAGCTCTGTGTTACAATTCTCCACATCCTGCATTGTATTCAGCCAGTACCTTGCATATTACTGATACAAAAAGCTACTGATTTTATACTGTCCTTCTAAAACTTACAAGAAAAACTCTGACTTGATGCTATTTTTCTAAACTATTAATATTAGAAAACACATTAGAAAACTCACCTCCCCTCCATTAACAAAATCCAGAACAAAATAAAGCTTTTCGGCTGTTTGGAACGAATAATGCAACCCAACCAAAAATGGATGTTTCACGTTTTTCAAGAGCACATTACGTTCAGCCATAATATGTTTTTGCTGGAAAAAAGGCAAAAGATCAATTGTATTATACACTAGAAAACAACTCTTAACAGAAAATGGGCTTGGGAGGCACAACAGCTATTTTACCTCTTTTCTGTTGAGAACTATTTTCTTCTGTAACACTTTGACAGCATAAAATTTTCCATCCAGTTTCCGTTTTGCAAGAAGAACCTGTTATGGTTAAACATTATGTATTCTATTAGAAATTTCAAATTTTGATAGAAATTATTCACTTGTCAATGCATCAATACTTCTTAAATTATGTAGAAATAAATTCTGTAAGGGACCTAGATTATGTTTTTGTTTTAGAAATCAAGTAGTCAGGCACCATTTCTTTGTCACTTAATGTGTTGATATTTCAATTTTTTTTTAACTAAATTTAAGTGCCCAAAATCTACACTGTTTGAGAACTTTGTGTGTGTGTGCATGCATGTGCTCCAGCCCTGAATCCTGAAGACTGCCTGTTGAAAATATTGTTATAAACTTCATGGCTATATTAACAAGGATACGGAAATGATTTTTAGGTAATAAAAATGTACTGTTTCATACTGAGATTATTCTTAACAGGTTTTAAATTCAGAAGAGTTCAGAGGAAAAAGTTCCATGATTTCTATAGTGGTCTGGGTCGCATGCAGATGCTTTAAAGAATTTGAAGAAATCTAGAGTATCTCGTAGTGGTGCAATTTTGACTCACTGCGGTCTTGACCTCCTCAAGGCTCAGGTGATCATCCTGTCTCAGCCTCCCAAATAGCTGGGACTACAGGTGTGTGCTACCATACCTGGCTAATTTTGTATTTTTTGTAGAAATGGGGTTTTGCCATGTTACCCAGGCTGGTCTCAAACTCCTGGCCTCAAGCGATCCACCCACCTCGGCCTCACAAAGTGCTGGGATTACAGGCATGAGCCACTGCACCTGCACTGCACCTGGCCTGCTTTTCTTTGTTTTGTTGTACTTTGTTGGCTTCTAATCATTTTACAAGATTTTACTTTTGAAATTAAACGTATCATACATATAGGAAAACTCATATCATTACACCTCAATAAATTTTTACAAAGTGAATACACCTATGTAACTAGTATGCAGTTCAAAAAATAAAACACTTCCAGTAGTCTGAAGCCTCTCTTTTGCTAAATCCTAATTACCACTTATCCTTCTCCTCAAAGGCAACTATCACCATGTCAACTTGAAGTAACAAACATAACTTTTGCCTTTTTGAATTTCATGTAATTAGAATCACATGGATAAAGCTGTCTGTCTCAATTCTTTCACTCTAAATTATATAAAATATTCATTCACATGTGGCACATAGCATAGTTCTCATATTTTCTTTGTTATGCAGAATATTCCATTATATGACACTCTACAATGTATCTACTCTCTTGCTGATATATATTCAGATTATTTATGAATAGTGATGCTATAAACATTTCTGTATATACATTTTCTAGTGAATATTCATTTCTGTTGAATATGTAACTAGGGAGTAGAACCAATGTATCATAGGTAATGAATATATTCAGCTTGAGAATTAACACCAGTTTTCAACAGCATAAAAAACAAAACACCTAGGAACAAATCTAATTGGAGATATGCATAAATTCTAAACAGAATATCATAAAATGTTATTGGGAAAAATTAAAAATGAGCTATATTAGTAAAGCAACATACCACAGTCATGGATTTGACAATACAATACTGTAAAGATAATTCTTCCCAAATTGATCTACAGAGTCAGTGCCATCCCAATCAAATTCAAACAGAATTTTTGCAGAAATTGACATGCTGATTCTGAAATTTATAGTGATATGCAAAGGACTAAAAATAGTCTCTTGAAGAGCAAGAAGAAGGGAGAACTTAATTCTGTTGGACATCAAGCTACAGGTGATATGACAACGTGGTACCAGTGCCAGGATAATCAGGTAGGCCAATCAACAGAAATGCCATCTAGAAACAGAAATACATAACTTATAATCTAAAGAGGGTGGGCGTGGTAGCTCACGCTGGTAATCCTAGCACCTTGGGAGAATGAGGAAGGCAGATCACTTGAGGTCAGGAGTTCAAGACCAGCCAGGCCAATGTGGTAAAATCCCCATCTTCACTAAAAATTCAAAACTTAGCTGGGCATGGTGGTGCATGCCTGTAATCCTAGCTACGTGGGAGGCTGAGGCAGGAGAATTGTTTGAAGCTAGGAGGCAGAGGTTGCAGTAGGCCAAGATGGCTCCATTGTACTCTGCACTTCAGCCTGGGTAACAGAGTGAAACATTGTCTCAAAAAAAAAAAAAATATCTAAAAACAGATCTGTGAAGGTACAAATAGTGAATACATGAAAAAGGTGGCCCTGCATATTAGGTGGCTCATCAGATGGGGAAAGAACAGTTTTCACAAACTATAGGATCAGCTGGTTATCTACAGGGAAAAAGATGAACTGTGATGCTATATCTCATATTATATGCAAGAACCAAATCCTGATAGACTCTAGATCTAAACATGAAGTTTCCAAAAAATAATCCCTTTTGGTTTTTTTTGAGATGGGGTCTTGCTACGTTTCCCAGCCTGGTCTTAGACTCCTGAACTCAAGTGATCTTCCTGCCTCAGGGTCCAGAGTAGCTGGGATTATAGGTATGTGCCACAATGGCTGGCTCAGATAATACTTCTGTTTTTAATGACAACTATCTCTAGCATTCCAATAGAATTCTGGGCATTTTGAGAGCAGGATTCATTTCTAACTTTCTATTGCTTATACTAGCACAATACTCAGCATGTAGCAGATGGATAATATGTATTTGCTGAGTGAATAAACACACATGGGTTTAATTGCATAGCCACAGTTTCTAGTCTCAAAGAAACTCAGAAAACAAATTAGAGTTACCAAAAGCTACAAATATAGCAAAATATAATTAAACACATACATATTCATTTTTACTAAAGACTGAAGTGCAGTGCAAAAAAACACTTAAATATATTCAATGATTCTGGTAACTTCATCTACGATGCTTTCTTATTAACCTTGGCCTTAAGTGATTCTCCTTCCTTGGTATGGCTACACTGCCAAGGTTACACGATTCATCTGACACCATAAGAAAATAAGCAGGGCCTTTACACATTCATTTCCTTCTCAAACTGTTATTTATACAGCTGCTCATTTTTGTCTTTCTAGCTTCAGCTTAAATAGCATATCTTCTGAGAAGCTAAGTGGGAATCTTCCTTCAGCTACCTGTTGTCGTCATTTCACCCTATGCTTCATTTCCTGCACAGCTATTATTATTTGTACTTATTTACTTAACTGAATATTTTTAATTGACTATTCCCCCCACCCTAGATTGTAAGCACCACAAAGGTAGTAATCATGTCAATTTCCATAATTTTCTAATCAAGGCCCAATAGGGTACCTGGCACACAGTAGGTGCTCAACAAATACCTTCTGAAGTAAGTGAACTTTATTTCAGAATTTGAGTAGACGCCTTTTCTCCCTAATTATTGTAGTATTTTGAGGGTAGAGAAAGTATGTTAATTCCATATCTTGCAACCAAAAAGTCCTGTGGCTCATACACATAAAGCATGCATTCCTTAAGTACTTACTTATTGAATGAGAAAATAAAAATACTTTAGGCTGGGTGTGGTGGCTCACATCTGTAATCCCAGCACTTTGGGAGGCGAAGGTGGGAGCATCACTTGAGGAAAGAAATTTGAGACTAGCCTGGGCCACAGGGCAAGGCCCTGTCTATAAAACAATAAAAAAATTAGCTGGGTGTGGTGGTGTGTGCCTGTAGTCCCAGCCACTCAGAAGGCTGAGGTGGGAGGATGGCTTGAGCCCAGGAGTTCAAGTGTGTTATGACTGTACCACTACACTCCAGCCTGGACAACAGAGCGAGCCCCTATCTCTAAAAAACCAAAAATCAAAACCAAACAAAAACCTCACAAAACACTCTTACCTTGCCAAAGCTGCCTTTTCCAATAACTTTTAAGAAATCAAAGTCAGTTGGTTTGGCACTGAAATAAATTAACAATAAGAATTAGCATCCTAAAAATTGGAAAGATTAACTTTTAAACATTTCTTAGCACTTCATTCTTTATAAATAAATATTGGGCACAAAATACTTCAGCATATGAACTCCAGCTTTCCTGCTGAGTATCTCATCTTTCATACACAATAGGTCACATGAATAGTAATATCTACTTTCTGATTAGATAAAACATTTCCTAACTTTATTTAAGCCTCATTTAGTTCTGCTTAAGAGGAACTTCAATAATACTCTCTTTGGGAGAAAAGATATATGCATAGCCTACATGCAGAGTTTTGAACTCAAAATACCTTCTATCTAAACCAATTTTACATGGTCTGGTGTTGTTGAGGAAACTTAGTGATACATTCTAAGGAATATATATAGCATAGCAGGTAATTCTGAAAACGAAGTTGCTAGTTGGAATACCTAGTAAAGATGCTAGGAATGATTTATGATGGATAAAAAAGTCATTACAGTGTTTCACATATAAATCACTTATTGTACATTAAAGATAGAAGGCTTCTCAGCTTATTCTCATGGATGGTAACATAGGAAATCCAGGAAGAGAAAAGCCAGAGGGAATACTAAGACTGCCCTTTTATTTCTGTTGGCCTATCAGGTAAAAATAGCATTGGCTGTTATGTAGGCAAAAACACATGACAGCAGAAAGGGGAGCTTAAGCAGCCAGAAGAGCCATTTCCTCCAACATGGTCTGAATTCTTAAGTTGTACAGGAAGAAGGGAATAAATCCATTTAGATTTGAAATTTGCTTCATTATCAAAATAAAGTTAATTCAAACATGAGAGTAAAACCAGGACTAGGTTAAATAAAGACAGGTAAAGATGAGTGAGATAAACACTTAACTATATTTAGATGTTTTTCTTCTTCAAAAACCTGCTCTTTAGACTATTTTATTCTTTAAAGATATGCAGAGGTACTGAATTAACTTTGTAAACAAATCTAACAGGGAGAAACATGCAGATCCCTCAAACATTGTAAATAGGTGAATGAGGCCATACTCCAAGCCTCATTGTTAACCGCTAGGGATAAACCTTAACTTAAAGCAAATTTCCATTTTTTGGCCAGGCATGGTAGCTCATGCCTGTAATCCCAGCACTTTGGGAAGCTGAGGCAGGCAGATCACCTGAAATCAAGAGTTCAAGACCAGCCTGCCCAACATGGTGAAACCCCGTCTCTACAAAAATACAAAAATTAGCTGGTCATGACGGTGGGTGCCTGTAATCCCAGCAACTTAGGAGGCTGAGGTGGAAGAACTGCTTGAATCCAGGAGGCTGAGGCTGCAGTGAGCCAAGACTGCACCATTGCTCTTTAGCCTGAGTGACAGAGCAAGATTCCATCTCAAAAAAAAAAAAAAAAAAAATCCATTTTTTGTGCTGCCACTTTTGTTCATGATGCTATGAACAACAGAAAAGAATGCTCAAAACCAAACTTCCAGTTAGCATCCTATTTATCTGCTTTCCTTTGAAGCAAAAACTCTTCAAGTAAGTTTTATAAATTTGTTGTCTCTACCTGCTGTCCTTTCCTCTGGTTCTCTTGTGAACCCTTTCTGATCAGGGTCTTATACTAACAACCATATCATAGAAATTGCTCATTAAAAGTCACCAATGACTTATGAAATCCAGGGGTCAACTTTCAGTCTTCATCTTACTTGCCCTATCAGCACATTAACAGAGACAACTCCTTCCTCTTTCAGACACTCTTCCCCTGACTTCAGGAAACCACATTCCTCATTTTTCTCTGATCTTACTGACTGCTCTTTCTTAGTCTTAGTTCTTTCCTGACCTCATAATGTTGAAGTGTCCCAGGACAGTCCTTGGACCACTTCTCCCATCTTCCTATAATCATTCTCCAAGTAGAGCAAAAGGGTAGAGAAAGCCTAGAATTAAAAAACCCTTCAGAATAAATGTAATATGCCTGTAAGGATAATTACAAGTAAGGGCAGCAACACTACATTCCTTCTCCAAACCATGGCAGACATTACAAATCAATTAGTCTGGGAATATGGGGAGAAACTGGGTAAACAAAGTTTAATAGCCTTTAATGTGCTAATGTCCATTATGACTCCTCTTGAACAAGTTGGCTAACAACTGGAGTACACCAATCATACCAAACACCAGCAGAATGTCAACTAGGCCTGCGAGAGTGCTATTTTTTCAGAAGACATCATAGGACTTTTGGTCCCTTGGAAATACACACACACACACACACACACACACACACACACAGAGAGAGAGAGAGAGAGAGAGAGAGAAAGAGAGAGAAAGAGAGAGAAGTGATAATGACAAAACAGCAGAACCCAATTAACAATTTGTGGATTAAAATCTCAGGGTTCACTTAAAGCAATGAAAAGCTGGAGCAGTAAATCAGTCAAGCATATGACAGCACTGTATTCACTATAACTATGGTTATATTTCAAAGGCCTCCAGTTAAATTAATATAATTATACATATCTGCATACTCTCAAAATAGATATTCCTAAAATTCAGTTAAAGAGTTGTTTGAAACAAATTAAACATACTGAGGATTTCCAGATGGTCCCAAGTTGATGTTCTGTGAGGTAGTGTGTAGCTGTTAAGACGGGGGAAAAAAAACAACATTCTTATTGGAGCTTCAAAAATTGTTAATTAATGTTCTGAAAAACATTTATAACTATACCACAAATATTTGGTTTGTTGCCATGTTAAAGAAACCCAGGATTCTGATTCTCAGTAAGGGTATAGACTTACTTGGAAATACATTTAATTGGAAAAAACAATCATTTTCATCACAGTAATTTTCAAGAACTGTTGTAAGAAAAAAGGTAAGCCAGAAATCAAGCTCTAAGTAGGTAAATGAATGAAATAAATGGAGGAACGCTCCTTGGAAGAGGTGGGCATTGAAACCGCAATTTAAGGGAGATCACTTTTTTAAAAACTGGTTAAAAACGGCTTTTCATTTTTCAAGTTTTCAAATAGGTTATCAAAGACAGAAATGATAGGATGATGATAATGATGATCGCAAATGCCGGATTTTCAGTTTTAATTTGATGGTAGGTAAATGCAGATGAAGCAAACATAGACAGCACTGCTTTTCTTTCTAATTCTAGCACTATGGCAGCACCAAAATTTTATATAGGTTTTTCTCTTTTGCAACAGTTAACATAGTAAGCTTAAGCCTTGGTATTTATTTAGAAGTAAATCTTTATTTACCTAGTATGCTGTAAAGAAATTTAAGTGATAAAATATTCTAGTTCATTAATAATTAGCTAAAATTTTAACTCAAAAAATCTCAGAAGATTAATCTAGTGATCCTATCAGAGTGGGCATTTTCTATAAAAGCCAAGTGTAAGTAAATTTCGCTTCACATAAATGAACTTTAAACTCTTTATACATTGAGATAATTAAATCAGATATAAATGTTTCAAATACGTATACTAGTGTTCTGTATAAATTATACTTCATATAAGCTATACGTGCAAAAAAGCTTTTAAAAACTTCTCTAATCAGAGGAAATAAATATTTCTTTTTGAGACAGAGTTTTACTCTTGTTGCCCAGACTGAAGTGCAATGGTGTGATCTTGGCTCACTGCAACTTCTACCTCCTGGATTCAAATGATTCTCCTGCCTCAGCCTCCAGAGTAGCTGAGATTACAGGCAGCTGCCACCATGCCCGGCTACTTTCTGTATTTTCAGTAGAGACAGGGTTTTGCTATGTTGACCAGGCTGGTCTCAAACGCCTAACCTCAGGTGATCAACCTGCCTTGGCCTCTCAAAGTGCTGGGATTACAGGCGTGAGCCACTCCACCCAGCCAAGAAAATTTTATCTCATCAAATTTCTTATGGTAGACATATATAATATACATTTTTACTTAAATTCATTTCAAATTTATAATCTCTAGAATATAAACTATTTTTTAAAATAAAGGGAAATAATCTCAGCCTTCAAAAGTTCTTAAAGAGTTTCAGGCAGGGAGTGGTGACTCACGCCTGTAATTCCAGCACTTTGGGAAGCCTAAGTGAACCGATCACCTGAGATCAGGAGTTCAAGATCAGCCTGCCAAATATGGTGAAACCCCATATCTACCAAAAACACAAAAATTAGCTGGGTGTGGTGGCAGGCACCTGTAATCCTAGCTACTCAGGAGGCTGAGGAAAGAGAATTGCATGAACCCGTGAGGTGGGGGTTGCAGTAAGCCAAGATAGCACCACTACATTTCACCCTGGGTGACAGAGTGGGGCTCCATCTTTTTTCTTTACACTTTAAGTTCCCATTAATTCCAGTAGGGGCTGTGTCTCAAGAAAGAAAGAAAGAAAGAAAAGAAAGGAAGGAAAGAAGGGAGGAAGGAAGGAAGGAAAGAAAGAAAAAATTCTTATGAAAAACAACATTGGCACCTGCATTATAGTTACAATCCAAATTTATTTCCTATTGTTACACCTATACATAAAAAATTCATTAAATGAGATTAGTCCTGTTGTGGCATAATGTTAACCTAAGAATGGCCTTTTATGTTTAAATATTACAGTGTCCTTTTTTTTTTTTTTTGAGACAAGAGTCTCACTCCGTCACCAGGCGTCAGGCTAGAGTGCAGTGGCGCGAGCTCGGCTCACTACAACCTCTTCCTCCTGGGTTTAAGCAATTCTCCTGCTTCAGCCTCCAGAGTAGCTGGGACTACAGGCATGCGCCACCACGCCCAGCTAATTTTTGGTATTTTTAGTAGAGACGGGGTTTCACCATTTGGCTAGGATGGTCTCAATCTCTGACCTCGTGATCTGCCCGCCTCAGCCTCCCAAAGTGCTGGGATTACAGGCGTGAGCCACCGCACCCGGCTACAGTGTCCCTTTCTACTAAGAAACTGCTATAAAGGCTAGGCATGGTGGTTCACACCTGTAATCCCAGCACTTTCGGAAGCCAAGGCAGGCTTCGAGACCATCCTGGCCAAGATGGCGAAACCCTGTCTTTACTAAAAATACAAAAAAGAGCTGGGCATGATGGTGTGTGCCTGTAGTCCCAGCTACTCAGGAGGCTAAGGCAGGAGAATCACTTGAACCTGGGAGGCAGATGTTGCAGTGAGCCGAGATTACACCACTGCACTATAGCCTGGAGACATAGTGAGACTCCATCTCAAAAAAAAAAAAAAAAAAGAAAGAAGAAAAAAGTAAAAAGGAAACTGCTATAAAATAAAAACAAACAAATAATAGAAACAGAAGAAAAAAATAAATATTTCAGTATTGATTCTTACAATGTAATTCAAACTGAGCTGTAATTTCAATGCACTTATTCTTTTAATGAATATGCAGATAACTGGTTTAATTTTCCATTCAATAAATTTTTCTTATAAAGATGAAGGAAGATAGCCAGGCACGGTGGCTCATGCCTGTAATTCCAGCACTTTGGGAGGCTGAGGCGGTTGGATCACAAGGTCAGGAGTTCGAGAGCAGTCTGGCCAACATGGTAAAACCCTGTCTACTAAAAATACGAAAATTAGCTGGGCATGGTGGTGGGTGCCTTTAATCCCAGCTACTTGGGAGACTGAGGGAGAAGAATTGTTTGAACCCAGGAGGTGGAGGTTGCAGTGAGCTGAGCTCGTGCCATTGCACTCCAGCCTAGTCAACAGGGAGAGACTCCATCTCAAAAAGAAAAAAGATGAAGGAAAAGGATTAAATATACTGCAGATTAAACAACATGAACAACTTGTCCCCTGAAGTATGTTAATATGTAATTAGATTTTATTATTTAGGCAAGGATTTCCTAATGGAGCACATTCCTGAAATGATGAAAATTATTGGGATATATATAATTAGACAATTTTTCACTCTACTTACTATTTTTGAAGACAGTATCTAGTCACTAAATTGAAGGTGAGGTATAACTTATTAATAGAATTAACACTAGTTGAGATCATTTATGTTTCTTGACTTCCCCTGGCCTCTATTTTTCTCTTTATAAATAAGGGGGTAGGTCCAGATGCCCTTTAAAATATTCTAGCTAGGAATTCACTTAGTTATTTACTTCAAAGTTCTTAAGCAATAGTTATAATTATACGACAAAGTATGGCTTTTTCCTTTTTTAAAGAGATTCTTTTTATCAGTATTTTAAAACTTCAAGGGATTCTAGTGCAAGTTTCAGACATTATGGATAAAAAAAGAAAAAAGGAACAAAACTCAGATTAAAGCCAACAGTGGCAGAACCCAGAAATCTCTCAGCTTGGTTCGGTCTTCAAGGCCAGTTGTCTACAATTGCAAGGCAAGATATTCTTCAAATGACCTAAACCTATAAAGTCTCACGTGAGTAGCAAGCAAAACATAGAAAATCATGGTTACATAGATTTTAATCTTTAAAATACTACTTGAATAGACTCATTTTTCAATTAGAAATATTAAGAGTTGGAAAATGTTGAAAATATCAGGATTTTTTTTTTTTTTTTTTGAGATGGAGTCTCACCCTGTTGCCCAGGCTGGAGTGCAAGAGTGCTATCTCAGCTCACTGCAACCTCTGCCTCCCAGGTTCAAGCGATTCTCCTGCCTCAGCCTCTCAAGTAGCTGGGATTACAGGTGTGGAAAAATGTTTTTTAAAGTACATAACCTTACTAATATGTAATTTTGGAAATATTTACACTACTTTCATATAGGTTTTTCATAATTTCAAAAACTGATTGTAAATCATACTGTGTGAATATGTATGTAAGTTTTAAATACTGATTTCACCTAATAATATGTCAAAGCTTAACATCTGATCTTTAAAAATAATTGAAAATATATAATATATATGGACAAACACTAAATGGTGAATATTTAGGTTGAGTCTAATGGTGTTTTTAACAGATCATACTGAAATAAAGATCTTTTGCTTTTTTCTGTGTGGATTATTTCATTTGCATCAATTCCTGATGTGAACATTTTTATATTTGTTATGTATTACTGAACTGCTTTCCAAAAGAGTTGCATAAAATTATGACACCAATGATGACCAAGGGTGCTTATTTTACCTGACCTTACTGTTACCAGTTCTGCAGTATTTTCTTTACTTTACATTTTTGTTAATTTGATAGAGCAATAAAAATCTAAGATGTTCATTTGCTGATGGCATCAAGGTTGAACATTGTTCTCCATGTCCCATTTCCTTTAACTATTATAGTATTAAGTATCATTTTTTTCAAATTCAAAAACCCATTTGTATGAGCTTTTCACACAGACGCTATTTCTTTGTATGCCTTACTAAAAATGTATTCCCAGTTTGTTGTTTCTCTTTTGACCAGCTACACAGATTTTTTTTTTTAAGCTTTTTACATTGTACTAGGAGCAACCATGTCACAGATGTAAAGATTACATTTATTCTCTTAACTGAGAATCCTCTTGGGGCATCAGAGAAGAAAAATTACTACTTTCCAGTAGTCACACACACACAAAATGTCTTTTTTCCAAATGAAGATTTTAGCCCTGGGATAGTAATATTCCAATGCACGATATTATCTTTTAAATAACAAAAACAGAACCATAACAAAATGAAAAGGCATTATAAAGAAAAACTGTGTTTCAACCCATCATCTCTGATTTTCATGTACATATTTAAAAATAGTTATTTAAAAGTTTGAATTATGTCCTGAAATACTACAGGAAAAATAAAAAAAAAGTTTGAATTATGAAAATATATTTATAATATTTGTAATTATAATTACTGCATAATACTTTGAGTTAAATTATTACAATTTACCTCTCCCACATAATTTTTGAAGGTAAATGCTGCAAACATCTTCGTAATAAGGCACAAGCTTATTTTACTTATTGCTATCACAATCTAGTTTAAAAAACAAGACTGGCCAGGCACAGTGGCTCACACCTGTAAAACCAGCACTTTGGCAGGCCAAGGCGGGTAGATCACAAGGTCCGGAGTTTGAGAACAGCCTGGCCAATATGGTGAAACCCCGTCTCTACTAAAAATATAAAAATTAGCTAGGCATGGTGGCGCATGCCTATATTCCAGCTACCTAGGAGACTAAGGTAAGAGAATCACTTGAACCTGGGAGGCAGAGGTTGCAGTGAGCTGAGATTGTGCCACTGATTCCAGCATGACAAAGCAAGACTCAGTGTCAAAAAAACCCACAAGACTACCCTGTTCTCTATTAGGAACACATATTGATTATGCACATATATCACAGAAATAAAAATTAGTTGATTCAACTGACATATACTGACTATCCTATATATAAAATCCTGACAATACAGAGGAAGAGGGATGTAATGTGGTCAAGAAGGCCTTTTCTATTGGCCAAAATTCAAAATAGTTTCAAGTATGGCAATAATGATAACATGTAAAGTGAAGAAAACAGAATACAAAATTGTTTACACTGCATAATTAAAATTCGGTAATTTAAAAACCCTGTATGTTAGAGAAGATTGGAGAGAAAATTACTAGAATGTTAAAAATTTCCAGGTGCAGGTACAATAATATGGGATAATACTTTTTTTTTACCTACTGTTTTCAAATTTGTCTGATTAACTTGTATTACTTTTTAGTATAAAAAGTACTCATTCTATATATTTTATAACAATAGTGATCTGTGGGCTGGGCATAATGGCTTATACCTGTAACCCCAGCATTCTGGGAGGCCAAGACAGTTGGATCATTTGAGGCCAGGAGTTTGAGACCAGCCTGACCAAGGCAGTCAAACTCTAACTCTACTAAAAAATGCAAAAATTAGCCGGGCATGGTGGTGGGCACCTGTAATCTCAGCTACTAGGAAGGCTGAGGCAAGAGAATCACTTGAACCCAGGAGGTGGAGGTTGCAGTGAGCCAAGACTGTGTCACTGCACTCCAGCCTGGGTGACAGAGTGAGACTCCACTTCAAAAAAAAAAAAAAAAAAGGAATAGTGATCTGTAAGAGCTATATACATTTGCTTTTATGCGTTCTATATAGTAGAAACTATGATGGATGAAATTACTTCATTTGAAGTAAGTGTCATAAAGCCACTACTTTCATCTTTGGGGGATGATATTTTTTCTATTAAGAAAGACAATTCCTCTTACTACCTTCTGAGAACTTCTTTCATCCTCATCTTCAGATGGATCCGACTGGTGTTTTGGACTATCCATTTGAAGGAATGCTCTGACATCTGGACTAAAAACAAAAACTAACTTTATTATAACTTCAACAGCATTTCTACAGCCTTTGTCCCTTTTAAAAAGAAAATTGAAATAGAAATAACTATATTAGCATTTACAGTAAGAAAGTAAAACAAAATCAGTTAATATTCATTATTATAAAAGTAATAAGCAAATTAGTTTTTTTAAAAAGGAGAAACCAACAGACAAATGGGCAAAGATTATCAACAAGCAGTTCATGGAAGAGAAAACCCAAATGGCAAGCAAATTTGTGAAGATGCCCATAACTTCACTAATAATCAGAGAAATACAAGTTAAAATGATAATGAGATATCATGTTATGTCCATTATCTGGCAAAAGTTAGAAAAACAGATAATATCAAAAGTTGGTAAGAAAATTGGGAAACAGACATGCTCAAATATTGGTGACAATGCAGAATGAAGCAACTTTTCTGAAACGCAATCTGGCAATATTTGGTAAAACTGTATGCATTTTCCCTGGGCCCAGAAATTCCAATTTTAGGGATAAACCACAGAAAAAATTATGTGCAGGTCCAGCAAAAGGCATGTAACTATGATGTTCATTGTAGCATTTTCTGTAACAGTGAATTAGAAGCAACATAGGCGTCTACCACCAGGGAAATAAGTTAACTATGGTAACTGCCTACAGGGAATACCAGTCAGCAGCCAGAAGCAAGAAACTATAGCATAGCACCATTTATACATACATTAAATACTCAGAGACACGAAGCGTCAGCCTGTTTACTAAAGATACACAGATATCTAAGGACATATATCAAACATATTAAAGTGGGTATCAAGAGGGGGGATGAAGAAATGGCTATGAAGATCAAGGATGAAGAGAAAAAAATGGAATAAAATTAGAGATGGGCCACACATGAACTCATGACCAGTGTGGGAAAGCATTAAATCTCCATACCTGGCACCTTCTCCCCAGTTTGTTCTTAATTATTTAATCAAATAATATACATTCTTCAGAGGAAACTCAAAAGATGAAAAATTATTTTTAATAAAAGGAGGCCTTAGCCAGGAGTGATGGCTCATGCCTGTAATCCCAATACTCTGTGAGGCTGAGGTGGGAGGATGACTTGAGGCCAGGAGTTAGATACCAGCCTGGGCAACACAGCAAGACTCTGTCTCCACAAAAAATAAAAATAAAAAAACTCAGGAATGATGGTGTGCACCTGTTATCCTAGCTATTCAGGAGGCTGAGGCAGGAGGATCCCTTGAGCACACGAGGCTGAGGCTGCAGTGAACCAAGATTGCACAACTGCATTTTAGCCTGGGTGACAAAGAAACAACTTGTTTCTAAAAGTAAAAAAAAAAGGAAAAAAATAAATATAAAAAGAGTTGGGCTAGTGTAGTCACTGTGGAAAAGAGTTTGGTTGTTCCTTAAAAAATTAAATATAGAGTTACCTTATGACCCAGCCATTCCAAACCTAGGCAAAGACCCAAAACAAATAAAAACATATGTTCACATAAAAACTCACACGATTCCTCATAGCAGCATTATTCATAATAGCCAAAAAAGTGGAAATATCCCAAATTTCCACCAATAGATAAATAGATAAACAAAATGTGGTGTTATCCATGGAATGGAGAGCGCTAACACATGCTATAACATGAATGAACCTCAAAAACATTATTCTAAGTAAACAAAGGCAAAAAAATAAAGTCACCTACTGTATAATTTCGTTTTAATAGGCAAATCCGTACAGACTGAAAGTAGAACAGTGGTTGCTAAGGGTTAGGGGAAGAGAGAATTTAGAGGTACAGTTTTTTTTAGGGGGATGAAAATGTTAGATTAGATTTGGGGTGACATAATTAGTGATGATGGTTTTAAAGCATTGTGAATATGCTAAAAACTACTGGGCCAGACGTGGTGGCTCACGCCTGTAATCCAAGCACTTTGGAAGGCTGAGGCAGGCTGATAACAAGGTCAGGAGTTCAAGACCAGCCTAGCCAACATAGTGAAACCCTGTCTCTACCAAAAATACAAAAATTAGCTGGGTGTAGTGGCATGCACCAGTAGTCCCAGCTTCTCAGGAGGCTGAGGCAGGAGAATCTCTTGAACCCGCGAGGTGGAGATTGCAGTGAGCCATTGTACTCCAGCCTGGGTGACAGAACAAGATTCTGTCTCAAACAACAACAACAACAACAAACAAACAAACTACTGAACTGTACACTTTAGAATAGTTTAAATGGTGAATTTTTAACTTAATAAAGAAGGTTTATAAAATGCAGGGGTGGGGATTTTCAATCTTACCACATAGAAGCAACCACTAGTAACATTTTGGCATATTTTATTTCAGTCTTTTTCTCTGCACGTTTAAGATTATGTTACACTAAACTTTAATGTTTTTACTTTACAATTACATTATAAGCATTTGTAAACCATCACTTTTGATAGATGCACGATATATAACATGAATGTACTAAAAATTACCCAATGATTCTTCCACTTGAGGGTATGACTTCCAACTTTTCATTACCATAAATTATGCTGCACTTGATAATCTTTGGCATAGTATTAGAATGCTAAGACTTTGAGAACAGATTTTTAAAAATAAAATTACTCATCTGAATTATAAACCATTTTTACAGTATAAAACAAATAGTTTGTAAAACTTATTTCCAGAGCAGCTGTACCAATTTATACTCTTCTAGCAGTACATGAACATCTCGAAGGCTCTCAGTCTTTGTTAGCATTGAATGTTACATTTTATAGTAAGATCTTTGACAATTTGATGTGAAAAAAGCATATTTTAAAGAGAAAGTACTCAGTATCACTTTCAGTAATAAGTGAAATGCAAAATTAAAGCAACAATAAGATACCTTTTATACCCACTCACCAGAATGGCTAAAATGGAAGACTAACAATACTAAGTGTTAATGAGGTAAGCGTAAGAAATGTAATCTCATACACTGATGTAAAGTGTACAACTGGTAAATCACTTTAAAAAATTATTTTTCACTATCCACTAAAGTTAAACATATACATATCCTACGACCCACAAGTTCTACTTCACGACGTATCAGAAATTTTGGCACATGTACACCAAAAGGTATGCTAATGGAAACATTATTTATCATAGTCAGAAAATAGAAATATTAGTATCTCAAATGCCCGTCAACAGTAGAATGAATTAACTGTGGTATACTCATACAATGGAACATTATATAGCAATGAAAATAAACTATAGCTACATGTGACAACATGGATCACTCTCACATTGCTGGGAAATAAGCAAGACAGAGAACACAGACTATATGATTCCATTTATATAAAGTTCAAAAACGGGGCACACTAATCTATTTTGTTAAAAGTCAGGCTGGTAGTTACCTTTGGGAAAGAAGAAAGAAATAGAGATTGAAAAGAGGATGTGTAAGAGATCGCAGGGGTGTTTGTAATATTTTCTTTCTTGGCCTGGGGGAATATACAATTCAGTTATGTTTACTTCTCATAATTTATTGAGCTATACAGTCCTTATCTGGGCACTTTTCTCTATGTTATACTGCAATAAAATTAAAATAAGGTACTTTGGCTTCCATTTCACTTAAATACATAAGGAAATGTTCAGTTTCTCTGATAATAACTCATTTCTGTGTCGTTTTTTGTGAGCCATTCAATGTGCTTTGTCCTTCTTTTTTTTCATTTTTGGTGTCTTAAGCATTTGCATGGGCTCTTTCTATGTTAAATGTATTTATCTGTCATCCTTTATCATAGAAAGCTTTTTCTATGTTTCCGGTATTCAACTTTACTTACTTATGATTTGGGGGTTTGAAAGTTTTGTTTTTGCTCTTTTAGAGATGGGTCTCACTCTGTCACCCAGGTTGGACTGTAGTGGGAAAATCATGGCTCACTGTAGCCTCGATTTCCTGGGTTTGGGTGATCCTTCTACCTCAGCCTCCTGAGCAGTTGGGACTACCAGCACATGCCACCATGCTAGGCTGATTTTTTGCATTTTTTCTGGAGGAGGGGGTTTTGCCATGCTGCGCAGGCTGGTCTTGAACTCCTGGGCTCAGGTGATCTGCCTGCCTTGGCCTCCCAAAGTGCTGGGATTATTAGACATGAGCCGCTATGCACCAAGTTTTTATTAGTCAAATTTTTCATTGTTGTATTTTGTGATAATGTCATCACTGCCAACATGCTCAGAAAACCCTTTTCCATCCAGAGATGAGAGAAATACTAACATTTTAGTCTAGCTTGAAAATAATTTAATTTTTTTTTTAAATAAAATCATTTAAAAATTAGTTTCTGGTCAGGTGCAGTGGCTCACACCTATAATCACAGCACTTTGGGAGGCTGAGGTGGGCAGATAACATGGGGTCAGGAGTTCGAGACCAGCCTGGCCAACATGGGGAAACCCCGTTTCTACCAAAAGTACAAAAATTAGCCAGGCGTGGTAGCACGCGCCTGTGGTCCCAGCTACTTGGGAGGCTGCAACAGAAGAACTGCCTGAACCCGGGAGGCGGAGGCTGCAGTAAGCTGAGATCACGCCAATGCACTCCAGTCTGGTAACAGAGTGAGACTCTGTCTCAAAAATAAACATAAAACAAAGTAATAGCTTAGCTTGAAAAGTGCTGTAATCCAAGCACTTTGGGAGGCTGAGATGGGTGGATCATCTGAGGTCTGGAGTTCCAACACCAGCCTGGTCAACATGGTGAAATCCTATCTCTACTAAAAACACAAAAATTAGCTGGGTGTGCTGGTGCACACTGTAATCTCAGCTACTTAGGAGGCTGAGGTGAGAGAATCACTTAAGCCTGGGGAGCAGAAGTTGCAGTGAGCCAAGACTGTGCCAATGGACTCTAGCCTGGGCAATAAAGTGAGACTCTCTCAAAAAAATAAAAAACAAAAATAAGGTACATTTCCTTAACAATAATAACAGGCACATAGGAGGTGCTCAAGATATACTTGCTGAGTGGCTTTTCTTCTTGCTCTCTTAAATTTCTACTATTTTAAGAATAGCTTGATGCCAATGAAGAGCGTGAAAATTAAAGTTCTGTTAACAACAGAAGAGATCTAGAAAATAAGAAATGTCGTATTTTGCTAAAAGAAAACGTCAGTTAAAAAATTAAGTTTGGCCGGGCACGGTGGCTCACGCCTGTAATCCCAGCACTTCGGGAGGCCAAGGCAGGTGGAACACAATGTTAGAAGTTCAAGATTGGCTGGGTGCGGTGGCTCACACCTGTAATCCCAGCACTTTGGGATATCGAGGTGGGTGGATCATGAGGTCAAGTGATCGAGACCTCCTGGCCAACATGGTGAAACCCCGTCTCTACTAAAAATACAAAAAAATTAGCTGGGCGTGGTGGCGCACGCCTGTAGTCCCAGCTATGCAGGTGGCTGAGGCAGGAGAATTGCTTGAACCCAGGAGGCGGAGGTTGCGGTGAGCCGAGGTTGCGCTACTGCACTCCAGCCTGGCGCCTGGTGACAGAGTGAGCCTCTGTCTCAAAAAAAAAAAAAAAAAAAATTCAAGACCAGCCTGGCCAACATAGTGAATCCCCATCTCTACTAAAGATATAAAAAATTAGCCAGATGTGGTGGTGGGCACCTGTAATCCCAGCTACTCAGGAGGTTGAGGCAGGAGAATTACTTGAACCTGGGAAGAGGAAATGGCAGTCAGCCAAGATCACATCACTGCACTCCAGCCTGGGCAACATGATGAGACTCCATTCTCCAAAAAAAAAAAAAAAAAAAAAAAAAAATTAGCCGGGCGCGGTGGCTCAAGCCTGTAATCCCAGCACTTTTGGGAGGCTGAGGCGGGTAGATCATGAGGTCAGGAGATTGAGACCATCCTGGTCAACACGGTGAAACCCCGTCTCTACTAAAAATACAAAAAATTAGCTGGGCATGGTGGTGCGTGCCTGTAATCCCAGCTCCTCAGGAGGCTGAGGCAGGAGAATTGCCTGAACCCAGGAGGTGGAGGTTGCGGTGAGCCAAGATTGCACCATTGCACTCCAGCCTGGGTAAGAAGAGCGAAACTCCGTCTCAAAAAAAAAAAAAAAAAAGAAAAGAAAAGAAAAAAAAAAATTTAAAAATTAAGTTTAAAAAACTCTTGGCATTTGTGAGGCACTGGAAACATCTTCTATCATGAATGGAATGGTGATTGTTACAGAGTGTACATATATTGAAAAATCGGTTGAATTGTACAATAAGAACTGTGTATTTCACAATATAATGTTTTGGAAACTGGCAATTTAAAATAATCCAATTGCTTTTAGTTGAATTTTAATGCCAAATATAACATCTTTATAATACTGCACATCAAGATCCAGAATGAATATTTAATATTTATTATACAGTGTCAGGAGTTCTGAGTAATTCAGAATACTAGAAGTAATAACCAATACCATTTATTACATACTTATTCCATGCCAGCTCCATTAAAGGAAGAGACAAATTCAAACTTTGAATGCATGAATTAGATTTCACACAAGCCAATAATATGCCAATTCAAAGTAATCTCCAGTGTATATGGCAATATTCAGAGGTTAGAAGGGTGGGTCTAAGGTGAAGATAGCATAGCATGTCCCCAGGAAAAGGCATAATGTTTTATAAAATAATTAAACAAAGAGCCAAATAATAAAAGACTTTTTACTGAGGAACAGACTAGACAAGGGAACTGTTTGAGTGCAAGGATCCTACCAAAATTCATGCCCTTCTGCCATCTGCAAGAAGTGGCAGAAGACACCTGTTCTTACTGCGCTATCTAATCTTGGTGCGTCCATGGCTACATGACCTGCCTAACCTTTGCCCTACCTGGGAGCATCAGGTGAAATACTTATCTCTGACCAGAAGACCTTCAGAGGAGATCCAGTGTTAGCATTTTAGTAATTTGGTAAGTTTAATTAGGTAAATTTTAAAAGGAGGCCGGAGGGCCTGTTTAAAATAGTAGAAGGCTTCTGTGAACTATCAAGAGCCATATAAATAGTAATAATCATTTCTAGAACAATTACTCAAAAATACAGTCCCTCAGTGTTGTGGTTCTGAAGACTGTAAAGTGTGTCATGTTTACACCACTGCCCATAGGCAGACTTTATTTTACACAGATAGTGAGCTGCAGAAAAGCTCTCCAAATATCTTAACCTCTTCATTTCCTCTTAGAATACTTTATACATACAAGCACTATACCATAAATTACCAACCATAATAAATGTAATGAATACTCATAAACTGACCTCCGGACTCAAAAATGAAAATACAAACCAAACCAGAGATCTACCAATGTTTTTGTAAGTATTTCTGATATGACCCCTATTCTTCCTAGCTGGGAGCTACTGGCTACAGAAGGAAGGTTTAAACCTGTCAGCATGAGATACCCACAGGGCTGGGAAAGCGCCTTCATCTTAATGGCTAATGGAATGCTGTGTTTGGAGGCCTCATGTGGGTCAACAGAACAATGTCCCAGGTGGAGCAGAAGTGGTGGCATGTGTGCCCAACCCCTGCCAACTCCTTCACCTCATCTTCTTTCCAAAAATCTGCTCAGCTCCAGTCACCATGAAATGTTGTGTCCTGATGGTTCAGACTTTCTGTATCCTGTTATGCCTGGAATGTGTTCGCTATCTTTTTTTCTTGAATGATTACATATCGTCTAAGTTCCAGAAAGCCTTCCTTGACCTCCTCAAGAAGAGATGGCTGCTTCCTTCTCTGTTATCTTCTAGCACTTCTATCTTAAAAATTATCCACCTTCAATGACTTGTTTATTAGTATATGCCTGTCTCTCCCACTACACTGGGAGCCGGTGCCTCTGGAAGGTAGGGACAACACTTAACTTTATATTCCCAATGCAACTAGCAGGTACTTAAATGCTTTTTGAAAGTATAGATAAAATATAATATCAAATAATTAGCAAGATGTTTTAATTTATTATGCAAATTCATTTTAAGTTTAATCTATAAAACTAATGCAAGTACAAAAGGAAAAAAGAAGAGATAAAGAGAAAAGCAGAGAAAAAGTATCAGGAAGAAAATACTCAAGGAAGACTTTACAAACAAATACAGCATAGGAACATTTCATAGAACACAATTTATTTAAGAATTATTCAGTGTTCTTATATTTGGTTTCAGTGTCTCTTTAGAACACAACAAAAATTACTTACTGGTTATAAAGTTCTGGATGCCTAACTAGGTTCTGAATGAATTCATTTAGTCCTGCTCGTCTTTGTTTAATAAAATCTGGAAGAGAGATATAAACAATTAAAATTATTTACATCAGACTATGCAATTATCAAGTTATACAATAGATGAGCACAAGATAAGTAAATTTTAAGGAGGCTATTTTTAAATTCATGCTACCTATCACACAAGAAATACACCTAGAAATTATGAGAATCATTGTATTTATTGAATATATGTTACATATTACATGTTAATTATACATTAAAATTAAAATGAAGCAATTTATCTCCAAAAAGTAAGTTCTCAAAAACTGCCTACTGTGAACTCTAAACAGACTGACTACAAAACTTGGAGAAGCATATTGCTTTGTCCAACTCCTCAGGTACTACCGACAATGAATAAAAATTAACACTATAACACTGATGACTGAAAATCACACTAATTAAAAAAAATAAGGATTTCTGGAAATCCCTTGTAACTGGGAAATAGTGATAAATTTATTAAGTGAATATCACCAAAACTCTAGTTTAACTTACACTGTTTAAAAAAAAAAAACTTAAAAAAATGCATAGGCACACTTTCTTAACAAGTTATTGTCTAGTATTTTCTTTTTTTTAATTTTTCTTTTCTTTTTTTTTTGTTTGTTTGAGACAGGGTCTTGTTCTGTCACTTAGGCTGGAGTGCAGTGGCGTGATCTAGGCTCACCGCAACCTCTGCTTCCTGGGGTCAAGCAACCCTCCTGCCTCAGCCTGCCAAGTAGTTGGGACCATAAGCACATCCTACCATCCTTGACTAATTTTTGTACTTTTTGTAGAGACAGGGTCTCACTGTGTTGCCCAGGCTGATCTTGAACTCCTGGGCTCAAATAATTAACCCCCCTCGGCCTCCCAAAGTTCTGGGATTACAGGCATAAGCCATCATGCCCAGCCTGTCCAGTATTTTCAGTGTTTTGTTTGTCGATAATTGAAGCTCATGAAATAGCAGTTTAGAAATAAATATTAAGCACAAACCTTTCTTTTCTTTTAAATACAAACTTTTCTTGGAATTAGAAACCTTTTTCAAATATCTTGTCTCTCCTACTTACTAATCTTGAACCTTTCCAAGACTTCTTGCAAAAAAAAAAAAAAAAAAAAAAATATATATATATATATATATATATATATATACACACACACACACACGCACATATATATATATATATTTTTTAACCTCATAATGCTATTATAGGATTAAATGAGATAATGCATCTAAGTTTATAGCAGGATGTCTGGCAGATGCTAAGAACATTATTTATAGCTAATAATCATTAGCTACCATTACTTTTGTTGTTATTAGTTGTTGGGAGTCTAAAAGCCATTATCCTAAACTCTTTTTTTTTTTTTTTTTTTTTTTTTTTATTTTATTTTATTTTATTTTATTTTATTGCATTTTAGGTTTCGGGGTACATGTGATGAACATGCAAGATTGTTGCATAGGTACACACATGGCAGTGTGGTTTGCTGCCTTCCGTCCCCTCACCTGTATCTGTCATTTCTCCCCATGGTATCTCTTCCCACTTCCCCACCCCCCGCCCCTCCCCCATTTCCCCCCAACGGACCCCAGTGTGTAGTGCTCCCCTCCCTGTGTCCTTGTGTTCTCATTGTTCAGCACCCGCCTATGAGTGAGAATATACGGTGTCCAGGAAATACAGAGAACACCGCAAAGATATTCCGCAAGAAGAGCAACCCCAAGGCACATAATCGTCAGCTTCTTTTTTTTTTTTTTAATCGAGATGAAGTCTTACTCTGTCACCCAGGCTGGGGTGCAGTGATGCAATGTGGCTCACTGCACCCTGCACCTCCTGGGTTCAAGTGATGCTCCTGCCTCAGCCTCCCAAGTAGCTGGGATTATAGGAATGTGCCACATGCCCAGCTAACTTTTGTATTTTTAGCAGAGACAGGGTTTCACTATGTTAGCCAGGCTGGTCTTAAACTCCTAACCTTGTGATCTGCCCACCGCGGTTTCCCAAAGACCTGGGATTACAGGTGTGAGCCACTGCACCCAGCCAATTCTTAAGAAATATACTCTAAACATTGAACACATGTGATTTGAGAAACTGTGTCTAATGGCGAATGTCTGGATAAAAACCCATAAAAATATTCTACTAAGTAATGAGTTTGGTTTAGTAAACTGATTTCTATTGAATAAAGGTATAATGTATAGTGTTAGTCACCAAAATGTTGGGTTATTTCCAGTCATGTAGATTTATTTCCATTTCTTAAATGTAAGGTATGGCTGCATACAAATATAAACAAATATAAAATCGGGTCTGGTTTTTGGAGCCAGATGCATATACTTGGTACTTTTTCGTGTTTGTCTATGAATTCCTTGAAGAATTTCACGTAGATATCTTATTAAACTCTTCCAAGGACATTTATAATGTCACTAGGTAGGCAAAGCACATGTGAAGTTTACATTAAAAACTATAATTAAAAGACAGTTATTTCTCGAGAACTGAACATATTAAGAACTAAAATGAATGACCACATTTGGGATATTAAAAGAAAACCTAATAACTACATGGGAGCACCTTTAAATTGTTCTGCGGATACTTACTGAAGATACATTTTACTTTTGAAGGCTAATATGAAGAATTTCCTTTCTTCAGTGAGCTATAGCCCATGCTGTTCTAAGTATTTCTAGACTTGCCATTTTATTACTGACTACAGTTTTAAAATCCCTATGTAAAGTCCCATAGAAGAAGAGAAAGAAGTTCAGTAGTAGTCAGAATTTAGGGGCAATTCCAAGCTTACTTTTTTAGATCAACATTGAGCTTGCAAATATCTGAAAAAATTCCAGGTAAGACTATAATAGGTTTAAGGTAAGTGCCAAGAATTTATATAAGGCCTATATATTAAGAATTACAGTTAGAAATATGTATTTTTAAAAATCTCGATGAATAAGTTACATGAATGTATCTTTTGTAATACAAAAGAAATGTGAATTAGAAATTTTAAAAAGTCTGGGTGCAGCGGCTCATATCTGTAATCCCAGTTTTGGGAGGCCCAGGTGAGAGAATCACCTGAGGCCAGGCGTTCAAGACCAGCCAGGACAACATAGTGAGACCCTGTCTCCACAAAAAAATTTTAAAAATTAGCTAGCTGTATGACATTTTGGGCTGGATGATTAAAAAAAAAAATTAGCTAGTGTGGTGATGTACACCTGTAGTCCTAGTTACTTGGCAGGCTGAGGAGGATTGTCTGAGCTGGAAGGCAGAGGTTGCAGTCAGCTGAGATTTCACCACTGCACTCCAGCAGGGACAAGAAAGTAAGATGCTGACTCAAAAAACATATATATATACATACACACACACACACACACACATATATATATATATATATTTAAAGTTAAAAGTATGATTTCCTCTGGGTGCATCCTATTAAAAAGTCTTTAAATTCATAATGAAATGTTAACAAGAAGTTATTGGCAGAGATCACTCTTAAAATCAGCCTTCAAGTATGTAAGATGTATCTCATAGAGGTGGGCAACCATTAGAATAAAGTTAAAAAAAAAAAAAGACCTAGGCTTAAGCTGCAGCATAAGAACTCAAAAAGATAAGCAAAACCCCCACACAATGGCTGCCAACCATGAGTTAAGTTAAAAAGGAAATTTCAGGATGTTTTTCTTAGGTATTATTTTATTTTTTGTTGCTGCTGAGATGGAGTTTCACTCTTGTTGCCCAGGCTAGAGTGCAGTGGCACAATCTCAGCTCACCGCATCTCAGCTCACCGCAACCTCCGCCTCCCAGGTTCAAGTGATTCTCCTGCCTCAGCCTCCCAAGTAGCTGGGATTACAGGCATGCACCATCACGCCCAGCTAATTTTTGTAATTTTAGTAGAGACAGGGTTTCACTATGTTGGCCAGGCTGGCCTGGAACTCCTGACCTCAGGTGATCCACCCACCTCAGCCACCCAAAGTGCTGGGATTACAGGCATGAGCCACCGTGCCTGGCTGACTTTATTTTTAACTTTTTATTATAGAAAACTGAAATACACAAAAGATGAGAACCTTATTACCCTACTTTAAAATTTGTAAACATTCTGCTATTTCTGCTTCATTTATCCATTTATCGGCATTCCTCACCTTTCCCCCACTCCGAGCCGCCACGACCCCTCCCCCGAGCATTTTAAAGCAATTCTCAGGGTTTTGTTTTTTTTTTTTTTGGTGTGGGGAAATAAATCAGTGCGTAACTTTAAATGGTAATATCTTAAAAAATAGTAAAGTCATGAAATCACTATCTCATAATGTCTATAAATCCTTTTATTTTCCTCCAACCAACAGGTAGAACTTAATTCTACTCCTATGTTGAATGGGGGTTGGACTTAATGACTACCTTCTAATGAGCAGAATATGGTGGATGTGATGGTATGTGACTTCCAAGACTAAGTGGTAAAAGGCACCGAGGCTTCCTCCTTGCTAGCTCTCTTGGAACACTTGTTCTGGGGAAGCCAGCTGCCATGTTGTATGAACACTCAAGGTTCCTTAAGAAGAGGCTCACTCACAAGGAACTGAGGCTTTATACCAAAAACCACAAGAGTGAGCCATCTTAGAAGTGGACCCTGCTGCCCCAGTAAAGTCTTTCAAATCACTGATAGTCTTTGCCTATTCATCAGAAGTTGTACAAGGATTTTCCAATTCTATTATTCTGGAATTCTTCTATTTATGAATTGTGATTCCTCTATGAAGTATTTTCCAACGTTAGCTCTTTGGTACAAAGAAATTACATTTCATACAACGAAGGCAAGATAAACCTTTGAGTCTTTCATTTATTGACTTGGGGAATAAATTTACTCTAGTAACCTCTACAGCATTTCATGAGGTTCCCCCCATCACCAAAGAGTCAGAGTAAATTGAAAAGTGTTTATAACTGATGTGCTGTAACCTGCTGTTACTTTCTCCATGCTCTGTCTAATCTTTGCTCAATGAAAGCCCCAACAACTGGGTTTTTGTTGTGTTTTGTGTTCTTTTGGTAAAACTGCAGTCATCCTAAATAGCTTCCTCACTTTCAGGCAAGCTGTCCTGAGATTATTTTGCACATTTCCTGCCCTAGATCTGCGATCACCATTTCTCCATGGAACTCTGGTTCCTTTGAGAGAAAAATGATATTTAGAGATTGCAATCTAAATGTTAGGGGTGTTGGTTACTACTTGTTATTGCTTTTAGGTATTTCCAGAAGAGTGACAGAAAATATTTTTACAAAGGCAAAAAAAAAAATAATAGGCCAGGTGCTGTGACTCATGCCTGTAATCCCAACACTTTGGGAGGCCAAGGCAGGTGGATCACCTGAGGTTGGGAGTTCAAGACTGGCCTGGCAAACATGGTGAAATCCCGTCTCTACTAAAAATACAAAAATTAGCTGGGTATGATGGCATGTGCCTGTAATTCCAGCTATTCAGGAGGCTGAGGGAGGAGAATCACTTGAACCCGGGAGGCAGAGGTTGCAGTGAGCCGGAATTGCGCCATTGCACTCTAGCCTGGGCAACAAAAGCAAAACTCCACCTCAAAATAAATAAATAAATAAATAAATAAGTTGTGATTTCATATTATATTTCCAAATTAAGTCAAAAATTTAAGTATTTTTACTTGAAATCTTGATTTTATATGTACCACTTTCCTCTGCTGCTTAAAATCTTGGTTCCCATCATAGTAACATAATTACAGAATAACAACTCCATATAACTAACAATAACATTACGGGATGCAGTGTAAAATTTGTCCATGGGTTTTTGTTTTCATCCTTAGCAATATATCCCATGAAGAATATACAGTCAAAAATCCCATGTTTTAAAGTTAAATTAAGTTAGGTTTTTTTCCCTTTGGTTTACTTTCAGTTGAGGCTGCTTTGTTATTGTATTTTTATTTTTGTTTTTAATGTGTTTAAAATGTGTGCATGGTTCCAAAGTCAAAGATATAAACAAAATTTATTCAAAGTCATCTAACTTCTACCCCTTCTGTCTTTCCTGATCTCTCTCTCATCCTTAAAGTCACTAGTTTTATTAGTTTGTGATTTATTCTTCCATTATTTCCTTTTGAAACCCCATACCTTTTTCCACACAAAAATACACACCATACAAACTCATTTGCTACACCGTGATTTTTTTTCCATTTAATGGCATATTCTGGAGAACACACCATAGCAAAATACATAAAGAGCTTTTTTGTTCCTTTTTACAGGTACATTTTATCTAGCTCCACTGGAAAAATATTTCCATTGTTTCTAGATTTTCTATTAAAAATTTGTCACAATACACAGTGTTGTGTGTAAATCATGTCACATGCAGTTTATTTTGGGGACAGATTACTAGAAATGTGATTTCTTGGCCAAAGTGGAAAATGCATTCATAGTTTTCCTAAATATTACCAAATTCCCCTCAACATGGATTGTACCACTTTTTATTCCATTAGAAAAACATAGGAATGCCTGTATCCCCAAAGTATAACCAAATGAGCATCTTATCCATCTGTTTTTCTGAATTTGACTTGGATTTGATTTTCCCAATGCAGGACTTTCCAAGATCTCTGTGACATACCATCCTTTTCATTGTTGCCAAGTCATATATAATATACGCAGGACAGACAGTTGTTCAAAAAAAAAATCAGTTTTTAGTGTCAATTAATTCACCAAAACAAAGTACCAAAAAGCATTCAGCCTGGTATCTTGCCTTTAACAACAAAGCAGCAATGTTGCCAGTCTTACTTCTCTGCCTTCTTCCCTTGATGAAATGATTGTTTTAAGGATTCAATTAAGGAATCTACAGAACTTCAACTTAAGTTCAAGTCTCATATTATCTATCAGTAGTAGTTTGATTCTTAATATTTTTCTGCCATTTCTAATTAGTTAATTCTCTCAGTCACCCAGGCCTGACCCTCCAATTATCACTCATTCTCTTCTCTGTATGTCCTGTTACCTAAGCAAACATCAAGATGTATTCCAGATTTTTCATTAAAGGAGTTCTTGTGCGTTGCTCTTTTTTTTTTTTTCCCCCAAGACAGAGTTTTGTTCTTGTTGCCCAGGCTGGGGTGCAATGGCACAATCTCAGCTCACTGCAACCTCCGCCTCCCAGGTTCAAGCGAGTCTCCTGCCTCAGCCTCCTGAGTAGCTGGGATTACAAGTATGCACCACCATACTCAGCTAATTTTGTATTTTTAGTAGAGGTGGGGTTAGGCTGGTATGAAACTCCTGACCTCAGGTGATCCACCTGCCTCGGCCTCCCAAAGTGCTGGGATTACACGTAGGGGTCACCATGGTCCACTTTTTTTTTTTTTTTTCTGGTGCCCAGGCTGGAGTGCAGCAGTGCAATCTTGGCTTACTGCAACCTCCACCTCCTGGTTCAAGCGATTCTCCTGCCCCAGCCTCCCGAGTAGCTGGGACTACAGATGCACACCACCATGCCCAGCTAATTTTTCTATTTTTAGTAGAGATGGGGTTTTGCCATTTTGGCCAGGCTGGTCTCAAACTCCTGGCTTCAACTGATCTGCCCACCTAGGCCTCCCAAAGTGATGGGATTACAGGCATTAGCCATCATACCTGGCCTCCGTAAGATTTCAATTGGGAAAAAAGTGTTCTGCTGCTGAAAACAAAGCAAGAGTATAAAAGCCACAGGTCTGCAGAATACAACCTAGCTTTGTTGTGCCAACTCAGTTTTCTCTTGCTTCTCTTTAGTAATAGGTTCACATATTTAGTAATACTTTAAAACTTACTATTTGCCTAGTAGTTTTAAAGTATTACTTTAAAACTACAGTGCCAGTATACTGCCACTATAAACCAATAAAAAAAAGACATACGTCTCCACCTTCAGAAAATGTACAGCCTACTATAAGACAGATTAGCAATTACAATGAAACGTGCTATATACTCCCAAGAGAAAAAAAGATCTGTATATAACCACGGAAATAAGAACATTCTTCAATCCTGAGGTTCATAAAGTGTAAAGAATAGGCAGGGCATGGTGGCTCACGGCTGTAATACAAGCACTTTGGAGGCCAAGGTGGGCGGATCACCAGAGGTCAGAAGTTCAAGACCAGCCTGACCAACATGGTGAAACCCCATCTTCATTTAAAAAAAAAAAAAAAAAAAAAAAAAAGGCCGGGCGCGGTGGCTCAAGCCTGTAATCCCAGCACTTTGGGAGGCTGAGGCGGGTAGATCACAAGGTCAAGAGATCAAGACCATCCTGGTCAACAAGGTGAAACCCCGTCTCTACTAAAAATACAAAAAGTTAGCTGGGCATGGTGGTGCGTGCCTGTAATCCCAGCTACTCAGGAGGCTGAGACAGGAGAATTGCCTGAACCCAGGAGGTGGAGGTTGCGGTGAGCCGAGATGGCGCCATTGCACTCCAGCCTGGGTAACAAGAGCGAAACTCCGTCTCAAAAAAAAAAAAAAAAAAAAGTATAAAGAATAATAAGCCTCCATTTGAGAGGGCTATAGGCAAAGCAGCCTCTGGAGGAAAAATGTTTTAATTAAAGCAAGAATGTGGAAGAAATACAAAAAAGATGCAGGATAAAGAGCAGTCTGCTAATGGTGGGCAAGATTCCACAGGACACAGTAACATGCTCTGGGAGGGAAATGAACGGTATAAGGTTAGGATGCAGAGAGAAAGCACAGTCAAGATAAGGGAACTTAGAGCTTTCATCCTGAGTAGTGACCAAGAACACAGACATGTAAGGTATTATCAATTTAACCAGTTACAAGGTTACAAGCAAATTAGTTGGGGAAAGAGGGTAATCCATTCAGGATTCATCTGTGGCAGATATAGGTGACTCTTCTGATAGAATTCCTGGTGGATAAGAAGACTTCTGTTTCCCTATAAGTAGCCATCTGTGACCTGGATTAATCTCTTAGGTTCTAGGGAAAGACTCCATGCTTGCAGCTTCAGTCATATAGGTGCTAGAAACTGAGACACTATGCATCAGTAGGCTCCCAAAGGGTGAGCAATAGGATATCTTTTTGGTACCCATTCAGAGTCCTGCAAGTTGCTATGTACACAGTATATATTTAATGTTTCTGAATATAAAAGTGAATATTCTTCATGACACTGATTTAAAGTTAGAGAAGTTTCCCAAATTAACCTGAAGGATCAATTTTTAAAAAATTTTAATAGCATCTCACTCTGTCACTCAGCCTGGAGTACAGTGGCATGATGACAGCTCACTGCAACCTTGAACTACTGACCTCAAGCAATCCTCATGCCTCAACCTCCTGAGTAGCTGGGACTATAGGTGCACGTCACCATGTTCAGCTAATTTTTAATTTTTTTGTAGAGATGAGGTCTTGTTATGTTGCCCAGGCTGGTCTCAAAACTCCTGGCCTCAAATGATCCTTCTGCCTCAGCCTCCAAAAGTGTTTCAATTATAGGTGAGAGCCACTGCGACCAGTCCATAACAAATAAACTTATCTGAAATCAGACTACTTGAATTTAACTTCCAAATCTGCCCTTTACTATCTGTATACGATCCTGGACAAATTAATGAACCTAACTGTGCCTTAGTTTCCTTATCTGTAAAATAGTAGTAGCAATAATACCCATCTCACAAAATTGGGAGGATCAAACGAATTTAAACACATGAAGTACTCAAAACAATGCCTAGTAGACAGTAATCACCTTCCTGAGGCATTATTTTCATAGAGCATGAGATCTTTTAAAGTCCTGCATACTATACAGTACAATGAATACATTAATTTACTTCTTCAAACTTCAATGATCACTTCATAGCTGGCCTATGAAGTTGTTGCTTACCTGGATCAAAATTATCACCAAATATTCTCTTGGCAGGAATCTTCAGGGCCATAGCAGGAAACTGTTTTTTTAACTAAAATTTTTAAAAATAACATTACATGAACTAATTTTATAAGTCTTTTAGTTATGCATGCATCAAAACCAAATACAATCCAATTTTAAAGAAAATCCATTAGAAGACAAACTTTTGAATATATGATCATCCAAAGTACAATATAAATTATACCAATAAAATGCCAAAAACTAATTATCTTTTTTTGTCCCAATAAAATACCCAGTATCTGTGTGACCTGACCTAGGATAAACTACTTAATATCTGTGTCTCATTTTCCTGCCTGTAAAATGAGGACAATTTTAACAATTACCTTACAGATTTGCTGTGAGGTTTTTTTTTTTTTTTTTTTTGAGACAGAGTCTCACTCTGTAGCCCAGGCTGGAGTGCAGTGGCATGATCTCAGCTCACTGAAACCTCTGCCTCTCGGGTCCTGGGTCCCCGTTCAAGCAATTCTCCTGCCTCAGCCTCTGGAGTAGTTGAGATTACAGGCATGCACCACCATGCCCAGCTAATTTTTGTACTTTTAGTAGTGACAGGGTTTCACCATGTTGGCCAGGCTAGTCTTGAACTCCTGACCTCATGATCCACCCACTTCAACCTTCCAAAGTGCTGGGATTACAGGCATGAGCCACTGTGCCTGGCCTTGCTGTGAGTTTTAAAGGAGATCACGTATAGTAAGTCCTTAGGTTAGAACCTGGTGTTACAGTTCTGAATACATATTACCCATTTATTATCTTAGGAGAAGATATGTTCCTAGTGTTTTCTCTATATGAAAAGGTTGACAATAGATTTCTAAGAAAGCAGATGAATTTTGCTTTCAATACCCTCTTTCTGCTCTAACCTTCCCCTTATTAATATTCTAATACGGGTGTCCCCAAACTATGGCCCGCGGGCCGCATGCGGCCCCCTGAGGCCATTTATCCGCCCGCCCCCCCCCCCCACCGCACTTCAGGAAGGGGCACCTCTTTCATTGGTGGTCAGTGAGAGGAGCACAGTATGTGGCGGCCCTCCAATGGTCTGAGGGACAGTGAACTGGCCCCTGTGTAAAAAGTTTGGGGACGCCTGTTCTAATAAGTGAGACCTCATCTCTACAAAAGTAAAATAAAACAAAATAAAATAAAAATAGCAAGGCATGGTGGCATATGCCTATTGTCCCAGCTACTCCTAAGGCTGAGATGGGAGGATTGCTTGAGTCTGGAAGGCTGAGGCTGCAGTGAGCCATGATTATGCCACTGCACTCCAGCCTAGGCCACAGAGTGAGACTGTGTCTGAAAAAATAAAAAGTATTCTAATACATTTGTTTATCACAGGTGTCCCCAAACTTTTTACACAGGGGGCCAGTTCACTGTCCCTCAGACCATTGGAGGGCCACCACATACTGTGCTCCTCTCACTGACCACCAATGAAAGAGTGCCCCTTCCTGAAGTGCGGCAGGGGGCCGGATAAATGGCCTCAGGGGGCCGCATATGGGCCGTAGTATGGGGACGCCTTGTTTATCAGATATGCTTGTCTTCAGAGAAGGAAAAGGTGACCCTGAAGAAATTAAATTTGGGACTGTCAAGTCATAAAAATGGGTTATATTTTCATTATAAGTTTGATGTCACACACACACACACACACACACACACACACACCTAACAACTGTATCTCAGCTGGGCATGGTGGCTCACTGAGGCCTGTAATCCCAGCACTTTGGGAGGCTGTGGGAGGTCTCCTTGAGCTCAGGAGTTCCAGACCAGCCTGGGCAACATAGCGAGAACCTGTCTCTACCAAATATATATATATAACAGCTGAGTGTAGTCCAGCTATATAATTTGCAGGAGGTTGAGGTGGGAGGATTGCTTGAGCCAGGGAGGTCCAGTGTACCATGATCATGCCACTGAAATGCAGCCTGGGCGACAGAGCCACAACCTGTCTGACCAAAAACAAATAAACACCCAAAAACTATACATCTAACTACCAACTGACAAGAAATACAAAGAACAGAGAAATGTACTAACCACTTTATGGCATGGGGCATACTGTCAGTAAAATGGAGACTGAAAGATATGTAAACAAATGACCCTGTTTTACACACACACACACACACACACACACACACACACAAATACGTAAAGGAAACAAGAGAGGCAGGCAAAGGGGCAACCTAGTGATTAAATGACACTTAACAGACTTATCAACCAGTCACATAAACCCTAACTGGATATCTGACATTAAGGAATTACTCTCAATTTGTTTTTAGATGTGGTAATGGTACTGTATATATGTTTTGTTTTTAAGAATCTTTATCTTTTAGAGATGCATACTAAAATATTTATAGATGAAAATATATGATGTCTGAAATTTGTATCAAAATTATGGTGGGCTGGCTAGGGATAGAGATGAACCAGGAACACCCACATATCAGTAATTATTGAAGCTGGATGGTATCATAATATTACTTTCTGAATTGGTGCTAGTATGTCTACTTCTGTATGTTTTTTACTCCTTTTCCCTTTTCCTTTCCCCTTCCCCTTCCCTCCCCTCTTCCTTTCCCTCTCTTCCTTCCCCACTCTCTCTTTCTCCCTTAAGATAGTGTCTTTTGGCCGGGCGCGGTGGCTCAAGCCTGTAATCCCAGCACTTTGGGAGGCCGAGGAGGGTGGATCACAAGGTCGAGAGATCGAGACCATCCTGGTCAACATGTTGAAACCCCGTCTCTACTAAAAATACAAAACATTAGCTGGGCATGGTGGCTCGTGCCTGTAATCCCAGCTACTGAGGAGGCTGAGGCAGGAGAATCGCCTGAACCCAGGAGGCGGAGGTTGCGGTGAGCCGAGATCGCATCATTGCACTCCAGCCTGGGTAACAAGAGCGAAACTCCATCTCAAAAAAAAAAAAGACAGTGTCTTTTTCTCTCTCTTTTTCCCCTTAAGATAGTGTCTTGCTCCATCACCTAGGCTAGAATAAAGCACTGACCTCCTAGACTCAAGTGATCCTCCCCTCAGCCTAATGAGTAGTGGGGACCACAGGCACATGCCACCACACCTAGCAAGTTGTTTTATTTTTTGTAGAGACAGTCTCGTTATGTTGCCCAGGCTGGTCTTGAACTCCTGAGCTCAAGCAATCCTCCTGCCTGAGCCTTGCAAAGTGCTGGAATTATAGGTGTGAGCCACTGTACCTCATCTGTGTTTGATAATTTCTACAATAAAAAGTTTAAAATACAAACTACAGTCATAAAGAATACATTGAAATGTAGAATTAAAATGCCTACAGTTTTCTTTTATTCTAAAAGCAGTACAGGAAAATAATGTACGTTTTTGAACTTAGGGAAATCCAGGCCAGGTTTATCGTGATTTCTGTAGTTTCAAATAATTCAACGATAACTGTTTTTCTATTTTTTTCTTTGCCCCTCACCATAGGAGGCATAATTAGAAGGAGTTATATAAAAAGAGAGAGATATAGAAAGTGATGAAATAAGAACAAAAAAAAACGGGAAAAAATGAGGGAGATGAATGATAAAAACTGAACTACACATTAAGTAAATTCTTCTGTAAAAAGTTGAAAGATGGGATGTTTCACGGAAATGAGAATGCAAGTGATCATGGATGGAGGTACACCAAACAAGCTTTCCTATTTTATTTTTATGCTTACAGATACTCAAATATTAACACTCATTTTAATTAATCACCAGCTATTTAAATCATGAAGACAAACTATTGGTGTGGATCTCCACAATGCTGAGTTTTTTGGTGACATTTTCTATACCCCTTCCTCTTATGAAGAGTTTCACAAAAGACATCATGTTTAGAAGGTAAATGTAGCCTATGAAATATTTTAAGCAAAGACAGAAAGAAGCCTCAAATGTGTGTGTGTGTGTGTGTGTATGTGTGTGTGTGATGGGGGGGAGGGGGAAAGAGAGGGAAAGAGAGAGAAAGAGAGAGAGACAGAGAGAGAGAGAGAGAGAGAGACAGAGACAGAGAGACAGAGAGACAGAGAGACTACGGTCATGTTATTTTTACCCAAGCTTAACCCAGGCATCTCGATGGGTACAGTTGTATATATACACTCCTCAAAGATGTGCTGAACATGTAATAATGGGTATTTAAGAGTTCCAAAAAGAGTTAACACTTCAGTCCTCACTCAGCCTCCAATATAAGCCATTTTAAAAAAATCACTAAAAACTTATGGAAGATATTCCCATGTACTCTTACTGGCTATTGTTTCAAGCGTGTAACTTTAATTACAGGAAAAAAAAAAACCTATCTCAATATCCTTTGATGAAGCAAATATCTATAACTATACAGGTTGAGTATCACAAATCCGGAAATCTGAAATGCTCTAAAACCAGTAACTTTTTGAGTGCTCAAAGGAAATGCTCACTGGAGCATTTCAGATTTCAGATTTTCAGATTTGGGATGCTTATAACTCAAATATTCCAAAATTTAAAAAAAAAATGAAATCCAAATCACTTCTGGTTCCAAGTATTTCAGATAAGGGATACTCAACCTGTATTTAGTAAGTACAGTTGTATATGCATTAAAGAAAAGCTAAACAACAGAAGAAAACAGTAAAATGTTAACAGTAATTTCTCAGTAGCAACGTTACAGATGTTTTGTTCTTGTTTTTGTTTTGAGAGTGTCTCAAGAGCGCAGTGGCATGGTCATGGCACATTGCAGGCTCAAGTGATCTGCCTACCATGGCCTCCAAAGTAGCCAGGACTATAGGCATGTGCCACTATACCCAGCTAATTTTTTATTGTTACTTTTTTGTAGAGATGGAGTCTCCCTAAAAATTTTACATAGGAAAAAATATTTTTAAATTGCAATATTATCTTTAGAAGTTCAACTTCAAGTAGCAAGTAATTTGAATATTAGGAACAAATATATACACAGTGAAATGCTGAATAAAGATGAATCAGGAGTCTAATTTTCACAACTAAACAAAACACAGGAAGTTGTACAGCTAGACATTGTTTGATTAATTCTGACCCATTTAGGAAGCAATTTGTCTCTTAATTGACATAACTTTCCACATATTCAAAAAAATCTTACAAATGATAATCCATAAGCATATATATATTTACTCCTATGTTTAAAATCAAGAGACAGGGTTAAGAAATGAAAATAATTACTTTCATAAATATATAACAGAGTTTTTTCCAGAGGATGCCTAGTAATCTATCATTCATTCAACAATGACACTGAGTCAGGCATGGTGGCTCATACCTGTAATCCCAGCACTTTGGGAGGCTGAGGTGGGCTGATCGTGAGCTGCTCAGGAGTTCGAGACCAGCCTGGCTAATATGGTGAAGCCCCATCTCTACTAAAAATATAAAAATTAGCTGGGCATGGTGGAGTGCACCTGTAGTCTCAGCTACTTGGGAGATTGAGGTAAAAGAATCACTTGAACCCAGGAGATGGAGGTTGCGGTGAGCTGAGATTGCACCACTGCATTCCAGCCTAGGCAACTCCATCTCAAAAAAAAAAAAAAAAAAGACACCAGGAGATTCCTATTATTGCATGAGAGCAGAGGAATTTCAATTTGGGATTTGAGGCCAAGGACAGTGGCTCATGTCTGTAATCTCAGCACATTAGGAGGCTGAGGTGGGCAAATCACATGAAGCCAGGAGTTTGAGACCAGCCTGGCCAATCTGGCGAAACCCTGTCTCTACCAAAACTACAAAAATAGTAGCCAAGCATTGGCAACTCATGTCTGTAATCCGAGCTACTTGGGAGGCTGAGGCAGGAGAACTGCTTGAACCTGGGAGGCAGAAGCTACAGTGAGCCAAGATCATGCCACTGCACTCCAACCTAGGTGACAGAGTGAGACCCTGTCTCAAAAAAAAAACAAAACTGGGGACTTAAAAAAGCTTTAAGTCCAGGACTGTCTTAATGACCTGGAGTTCCATAACAGCTATTTATAATTCAAGAAGCATGCTTTGGCTTCTATGTATGATTTCAAGACAACACTATCCACAAACACTGCTACCTGTGGAAGATATGGTCTAATGTATGACAGTGACTGTGGTGGTGGTCTTGCTGCCTACTTTTATCTTTTTAGATGGGATCTTGCTGTGTTGTCCAGACTGAAGTGCAGTGGTGCAATCATTGCTCACTGCACCCTCTGAACTTCTGGGCTCAAGTGCTCCTTCCGCCTCAGCCTCCCAAAGTGCTGGAATTACAGATGTGAACCATCGTGCCTGGCTTCTCGCTGCCTACTTAGGAAGTATGTACTGCAAACACTGGATTATGAATACTATTTAATATCTGAGTTAAGAAAATATAAAAACAGGTTTTAGTAATCTCAATAGCTAATGGTCTGTTAGATCTTACCACCCAGGTAACTGTCAGAACTTCTGAAATTCAACACTCATTCCAGTTGTGTTGGCTACTAAAAATCTAGAACCTAAGACTTACCTCTAAGAATGGAAACAAACTATGGAAGGGAGATAGGTTCATGATTGACTTTCAAACATAAAGCTTACAGTCGGGCAATTAAACCAGAAATACCATGAGGATTAACGATTATCAGAGAATTAAGTAGAAAGATCTGATTTCTAATTTTCTATGACATTAAAAGGTATTTTATCTAGTTCTCATATTTTCTTTTCCTTTTTTTTTTTGGGGGGGGCGGGGATACAGAGTTTCGCTCTTGTTACCCAGGTTGGAGTGCAATGGCACGATCTCGGTTCACTGCAACCTCCGCCTCCTGGGTTCAGGCAATTCTCCTGTCTCAGCCTCCTGAGTAGCTGGGATTACAGGCACGCACCACCATGCCTAGCTAATTTTTTGTATTTTTAGTAGAGATGGGGTTTCACCATATTGACCAGGATGGTCTCGATCTCTTGACCTCATGATCCACCCGCCTCGGCCTCCCAAAGTGCTGGGATTACAGGCTTGAGCCACCGCACCCGGCTAGTTCTCATATTTTCGATGGTTTATCTGGAATTGTTCAGCAGTCCTCTCTCCACCCTTTCTTTGTAAGCATTCCAAAGTTAGGGTGTTTTTGAAGAATCTCTTACCCTCCTTGTCTGTATAACGTATTAATATATGAGTATCAAATTAATCATTCAAATATATTTCTTTTATTTTGGGATTTTCCTCAGGTGCTTTCTTTTAATTAGAAATCTTGTAGACTATTACTCACAGTGTTGTAAAGTTTATCAAACTCTGCATATCTCCTGAAGACAAACCATTCACTCCTTCCCACTGAAACCAGAACTTTATAAACCTGTGGAAATAAAATTATAACATAATGTAACAAAATTTAATTGCAAAAAACCCATTAGCTACTTAAATACATGAAACCTGTTTTCATATTCTCTTTTTTTTTAAGACAGAGTCTGGCTCTTTTGCCAAGGCTGGTGTTTTCATATTCTGAAACTGATATTAACATTAACATTTTTATATGATTCTCCAAGATACATAAACATACCAATTAAAGCACTTACTGAATCTTGTCAAATGGTATTCTTGGCTGGGCTCAGTGGCTCATGCCTGTAATCCCAGCACTTTGTGAGGCTGAGGTTGGAGGATCACTTGAACACAGAAGTTCGAGACCAGCCTAGGCAACATAGAGAGACCCCATCTCTACAAAAAAGTTAAAAATTAGTTCGGCATGGCATACGTGCCTATAGTCCCAGCTACTCAGGAGGCTGAGGTGGGAGGATTGCTTGAGCCTGGGTAAGTCGAGGCTGTGGTGAGCTGAGATTGCACCACTGCATTCCAGCCTGAGTGTCAAAGCAAGATCATGTCTTGGAAAAAAAAAAAAAAAAGTGGTTTCTTGTGATGGGAAGGATATGAGGTCAGGGGAAAAAAATAGGTGATATTTTATTTTTCAAATGTTATGATATATTCTATAATTTTTAGAGAATAACACAGTCAACACCCATGTGCTCATCATTTGGATCTACTGAATTCTAACATTTTGTCATTCTTGCTTCAGATATTTTTCTCCCAAGAATAAAATACTATACATTCAATTGTTGCCACTTTCCTCTCTCTTCTTCCCTAGCAGTAATTACTATCTTGGACTTACAAAGTATTTTCAAAAAATGGTACTTGTTACATAAAAAAACCTTCAATTTTTAGTTCTCTTCCCTCTAGGTCATCTTTCACATAGTATTTTTTAAACTATTAATAAGAATTTATCCTCAGACTTTCTAATATTATCTTCCATATTCAGTATTTTCAAATTTACATAATCTCATATAATCGTAATCAACAACCCTAGGAAGTGAGCTGAAGAAATATTACAACCCACCCCCCACCCCCAAACATGAGATACCCTACATGAACTGCAGGATGGTAATCTGGCCCTTTGGTCTTAACTGAGAAGGAATCTAGTTGTCTTAGAGGAAGCCATTACGTGTAAGATGTTAGAATTAATTTGATACGTCCAACATGGACAGCACACAGAAGTTGAGGGCAAAAAAGCTAGCCAAGGTGCCAGCAACACTGAGTAAGACTGGACAGGCCAGGCGCGGTGGCTCACGCCTGTAATCCCAGCACTTTGGGAGGCCGAGCCGCGTGGATCACAAGGTCAGGAGATCATGACTATCCTGGCCAACATGGTGAAACCCCCGTCTCTACTAAAAATACAAAAACTAGCTGGGTATGGTGGTGTGTGCCTGTAATCCCAGCACTTTGGGAGGCCGAGCCGGGTGGATCACAAGGTCAGGAGATCATGACTATCCTGGCCAACATGGTGAAACCCCCGTCTCTACTAAAAATACAAAAATTAGCTGGGTATGGTGGTGTGTGCCTGTAATCCCAGCTACTCAGGAGGCTGAGGCAGAAGAACTGCTTGAACCAGGGAGTGAGAGGTTGCAGTGGGCCGAGATCGTGCCACTGCTCTCCAGCGTGGCAACAGAGCAAGATTCCTGTCTCAAAAAAAAAGAATAGACAAGAGATTTACCTCATATGGCACTCAGGATAAGACAGGCCTAGAAGCAGAACTGCTATAAGAGAATAAAACCCTTAGATTTATATGACTGAGTTTCCTGAATTCTTTGTGCTGACTTGGTGAGAAGAGCAGACCCGAGAAAGGTCAGGTGGCCTCCTCTGACTACCCAAATAAAGTCAAGACTAGAAGGAAGTCTAGGTTCCAAGCTGGAGCAGCTCTGCAGCAAATATATTTACAGAAGGTAAGATAAAGCCCTGTGAAATTATGAATTAACAGTATGATATATAAACAAGTGCTTATTAAAGAAGTACTAATAAAACACCAGTAGACAAAAAGAAAAACCATTCAAATTCTTAAAAATACTTCCATTGGTAAAAAACAAAATGAAACAGGATTTCACAGGAAACAGTACAATACTTAATACAATATGAAATTATCTTATTTGCATATTTCCTTATTATCTGTCTTGACCTAGCATAATGAAAGTTCCTTGAGAACTAGGACTAATGTCACTCTTGTTCCACTGTATTCCCAGTGCCTAGAACACAACCTAGAAACTCACTAATTTGTCAAGTGGATAAATGAAAATATAATTTAAACTTGGTTTAAGTCAAGACACCTAGAATGCAACATATTTCCCTGTTAGACGTTTCATGGTATAGAACTATATAAACTACATATGAAAACTATAAAGTATAAAAATATTATTAAGGCAGGGCATGGTGGCTCATTCCTGTAATCCCAGCACTTTGGGAGGCTGAGGCAGGAGTATCACTTGAGCTCAGGAGACCAGCCTACACAACATAGCAAGAACTTGTCTCTATTAAATTTAAATTTAAAAATAGTATCGATAACATGGGTACCTAGGCTGAACAGAGCATCTGTGCTGGGTGGGATAGGGTCTATGTGCACTGAGAGAACCAAGTTTTTTGAGGATTGAGGACTGCACTGTAGTGACAAGCAAATCACAGATGAACAATCCAATAAATACTTATTTGAATTCCTACTATCTTTGTTCTAGGGTTCTGGTGAAACAATAGTGAAGGAAGTTCTTGCTTCAAAGGACCTTGCATTCTACTCAGAAGGCACATATAAACAAACACAAAATGTGGCAGGAGGGAAAGCAGGACAGAGAGTGAGATGGGTAGGGTGGGATGTGAAGGTGCTATTTTTTATAGGGTGGTCAGAAAATGCCTCTCTAATAAGGCAATTATTTGAGAATCTGAAGTATGTAAATGAATAAGGTGATTTAGATTGCGCCTTTGAGAACTCAGTGCGCAGTGTAGGAACAGCTGGGTAACAGAAATGCTACAGGTCACCTCGACCATCCCACAGAAGACATGGAAATACCTCCAGCCTGAAAAATCAATGGACACATGAGATAATCTGCCACTGACATTTGCTATGTGTGAACTTCCATCAAATTTGGTAGGAGGTATCCCTCAAGGAAAGAATGGTCCAAAGACAAAAATAAAAAGAGGAAAGGAAGGAAGAAAAGCTTTCACACACTCCACCATTTTATTCAAAGTATAACAACCTTTGTTTACCTTCAATATGATTGCTAAAAATCTGCTTATGCAAATGTGCAACAAATGCCTACTGTTTAAGATAAACTGCCAAGTAGAGGCTGCAAAGGGGTAAATGGCCAGACACACATTGCAATTTCTCTGCTCTGGATGTGATACAGAGAAATTGGCAGGTGTGTCTGTTAAGGAGAAGACAGAGGGACTGCTTCCCTGCTCCTTGTCTGGGACCTTGAGAGAAAACCATCATTTTCCTATACCCAGCCCCACCTAGATAAGAAGGCAGAGAAGTAGTTAAAGGATTTAGTTTAACTCCTCAGCTTTCCTCAACTGCCCTGTGACAGGGACTCTGAGTTGAAAGTCACCTTTCATGAGACTCAACTGGCAGTGACCAGGTGACCCCCTTTTTAGAGGCTAGGGTGGACCACTGAGCCAGGAGCAGGTGAAGGACATGTTAGAGCCTTTGAGTCGGTGGTGAGTTGCCATAAAACCCTGGCCAAGCGAACAAAAAGATCACAAGGCAGTTCATCAATTGCAGGTGCCAGCAATGGATATCAGCAAAATGCCCAAGTTATCAAGTGAGTCATAGCTGGCTATTTGCCAGACCAGCCACTTTACAGATCAAATGGCAAAAACCTAGAGGGATACCAAGAACTCAGGAGCCTTCACCAGGCTACCATGAGGTCATTTACTAACTCAAAAATGCTGTAGGCCCGGTGCAGTGGCTCATGCCTGTAATCCCAGCACTCTGAGAGGCTGAGGTGGGTGGACCACAAGGTCAGAAGTTCGAGACAATCCTGGCCAACATGGTAAAACCCGACCTCTACTAAAAATACAAAAATTATCTGGGCATGGTGGTGTGTACCCTGTAGTCCCAGCTATTCAGGAGGCTGAGGCAGGAGAATCGCTTGACCCCGGGAGGTGGAGGTTGCAGTGAGCCAAGATTGCACCACTGTACTCTAGCTAGCCTGGGTGACAAAGCAAGACCCCATCTCAAAAAAAAAAAAAAAATATTACTGTGAAAGGGGACACCTCTTCTCCCATAAACCATGATGCCAATCTGAGGAGGATGTGTGTTCAAGAGAGAGAGAAATTAAAAGTAAGAGAGGCTAAGCATTTTATCCTGAGACCTGGTTAAATTATTAGATTAGACTAAGTATTAAACAGAATTGGGCTAAATGAATTTCTTCATATTATTCAGTAGGTAAGAAGCATAGGGAGTTACAAAGAAGAGCAGATCAGTAATACACACGATAAATGGCTTTTTTCAGGGGAAGGAAACCAGGAGACCTCCGTGTATACATATAGGACTACTAGAATGAAATACAATATTGTATGTTTCATCACACTAAGAAGAAAAGTGACTATTCTCCAATAATAGAAACTGATACACAGATTTAGCAAATATTCATTGTGCTTACTCTTTATAAAACCCTATAGTAAGCCGGGCATGGTGGCTCAAGCCTGTAATCCCAGCACTTTGGGAGGCCGAGGCAGGTGGATCACGAGGTCAAGAGATCAAGACCATCCTGGTCAACATAGTGAAACCCCATCTCTACTAAAAATACAAAAAATTAGTGGGGCATGGTGGCACGTGCCTGTAATCCCACCTACTCAGGAGGCTGAGGCAGGAGAACTGCCTGAACCCAGGAGGCGGAGGTTGCAGTGAGCTGAGATCGTGCCATTGCACTCCAGCCTGGGTAACAAGAGCGAAACTCCGTCTCAAAATAAATAAATAAATAAATAAATAAATAAACCCTATAGTAGATACTACAGTGAGAAAAGATAAAATTAGAAATGGTTTAGCCTTTAAGGTGAAAAAAAAAATAAAATACTGAATTAAATATTTTAAAACTGAGAGATGTATAAATATTTCAGGGCAGTAGTTCTTAATATGGAATTGATGACTTCACCAGTCCATTAATCCCTGACAGTGCATGCAAAATTATAAGTGTGTGCACAGATCCAGGTCTATGTATATGCACATTTTCTGTTAAGAAGATTATTTAGGCCAGGCACGGTGGCTCAAGCCTGTAATCCCAGCACTTTGGGAGGCCGAGACGGGTGGATCACAAGGTCGAGAGATCGAGACCATCCTGGTCAACATGGTGAAACCCCGTCTCTATTAAAAATACGAAAAAATTAGCTGGGCTTGGTGGCATGTGCCTGTAATCCCAGCTACTCAGGAGGCTGAGGCAGGAGAATTGCTTGAACCCAGGAGGCGGAAGTTGCGGTGAGCCGAGATCGCACCATTGCACTCCAGCCTGGGTAACAAGAGCAAAACTCCATCTCAAAAAAAAAAAGATTATTTATCTAGTTTCATACAATTCTCCAAGAGGATAAGTAAAGATACACTAAAAAAGGAAAATTTATTCCATTATGGTAGCCATGAAGACTTTGTGGAGAAAGATCATGTGAAATAAGTAAAATCCAGATATGTGGAGATGGGGAAAGAGGTGCTCTAGGTTGAAGAAGAAAAGCAGAAATGGAAATATTCTCTATATTCAATTTTTTCCCCACATGCTTTATGTCACATACTTACAGTAAACCTCTTCTTTTTCTCTCTGTGTTCATCAGAGCTGGGAATGCTTACACTTGGGCAGCTTTCCTTGTAGTCCATGGTATGATCTCTTTGCATTTAATGCCTCAAAAGCACACCAAAAAATGCGTCCGAAGAAACAGTCAGCAGAGGACAACCCCAATTAGCTAATCCAAAATATAAAATCTCTTGAAGTAATGTTCAAATTCCATCATGCAACCTTAACCAACAGAAAAAAAAAGTGATTAGCAAAACAATTTAAAAATACTATGTCATTTCTTAAGCATGGGACTAATTTTATGTTTATTCTGAAAGGAATTTACTTTTGCTCATCAGTCTCAATATCTGCAGTCCATCTACCTTCCTTACTATTAGAAAATTCCAGGAACTTATACACCTCAGTTCATATAGACTAAGGGTTAACTCTCACCTAGAAAAGATCTAGATGGAGGTAACCAAACCGTGGTTTTCAGACCTCTTGCATTAGGATGAACCGGTCAAGTGTGCTGAACAATTCAGATTACAGTCCTGTATAGTACATAACTATTTACTTATTTTACAAATGAGGCAACTGAAACAGAGAGGTGAAATAATTTGTACATCTAGGATTTGAACCCAGGCCATCTGACTTGAGTTACAACTCTTAACCAGTGTACTATGCTGCATTATAACTGTGGATGATTCTTTTGTACTGAACCTCTGGTCAGAGGCATTACCGTATATCTTTATACAGAATAAATGCAGTATGTTAATATCATCCCACCCATGAACAGAGGGCTAGAGATATCACCTTTGCCACACAGAGCAGCCCATACTCTGACACCAATTAATACCTTTCTTTTAGAGACAGGGTGTTGCTATGTTGTCCAGGCTGGAGTGCAGTGGCTATTCACAGGTGCAATCATGGTGCACTACAGCCTTAAACTCCTAAGCCCGAGTTATCTTCCTGCTTGAGCCTCCCAAGTAGCTGCGACTATAGGCACAGACCATCATGCCTGGCTCAAACAATACCTTTTTTTTTTTTTTTTTTTTTTTAAAGAGATGGAGTCTCACTGTTGCCCAGGCTGGTCTTGAATTCCTGGTCTCAAGCATTCCTTCCACCTTCATCTCCCAAAGTGCTAGGATTACACGCATTAGCCACCGTGCTCAGACTACATAATACTTTTTAAAGTGTCAGTTTGCTTGGATAATTTCCCTGGATGGTTAGTTTTAGGAAATCACTGTAACAGATCTGAATACTATAAATAAATTATGTTCAGGTAATGATTTAAAATATATATCAGCAGGTATTGAATATTAAGGTATAATGAGTTTTAACTGATTATAAGAATGCCTGCTTTAAGCTTTAAGATGATTCGAAGCTTCCCTTGTTGGATTTGCTGCTGGTAACCGGTCCCTCCTCAACAAAGAGTACAGCATCTGCCTGTAAATTACAGCATTCTAAAGCCCCATAATAGCAGCTGCTTTGCCCCAGTAATACCAGGGCAGCACCTGACCAGAACTTGGCCCACCTGTCAGAGTAATCTACTGCCTAAGCATGAGAGCAGGCAGAACCCACTGCACTTCTAAGGCAACTGGCCCTGTCCTGCAACCTCAGAAGCCACATTAGCCCATGCTTCTCCTCCTGCAGCAGAGACATTGAGAGGGTGATTATGAGCTACGCTTTCCACATCTCTCCCTTGAGAATGTGGAGCGCAGGGTGGCAGGTCCTCCTGGCACTTCTCTGTTTGTATCTTGCTGTGCTATAGCCCACAGCAGCAGAATTCCTCAGGTCCTCCTTTTGGAAGGGACAGTAAGATATCACATTAAGTGGCAACAAGGATAAAAGAGAAGGAAAGAGATGGTAGGCAGGACAACTTGTTTCCTTTAATGTACCCAGGGGACATCTAAGAGAACAGGTACAGCTGGTAGTTAAGCCACTCAAGAAGCACACTCAAACCTGAGCCAAAGGTTCTAGTTTGGCAGCTGTACTAGAGAGTCTCCATCTGCCCTTCCAGACCCAAATGCCATTCTTTCTCCACCCAGCCACAAGTCCAGAAGTTTGACCTGTATGGACTGCACACTAAAGCAGCACACCTTGCCTTTGACCTGTGGCTGGGTTCAGCCATGAGAGTCTCTAGCAAATCAAAGAGTAAGAGGAGCAAGACGCTTAGTTATTTATTCCCCCAGTCCCTTTCTGACATCAGTGGTTTATCTACCTAAGCCCACCGTTCCTAGCAGGCAGCCCCTCTTCCACAGCTACAGCTGAAGGGCCTGGGAATAATAACAGCTTTCTGACTTTGCTAGTAAACAGGTGCTTCACCATGCCTTGCTGGTTCCTGTGATCCTGCCCACATCTTAGTTAACAGTCCCTTTGTTAAACTCCCTTCAACTACTTTTGAGTGTGCCATGTGACTGATCCAATTAACCAGTACCAAGAATGAGCCCAGGAAACACAGCCTCAAAAATGAAATGTGTATTTGACAAGTGTCCTGACAACCTTCCTGTGGAGCGAGGGGATTGTACACAGTGACGTCATGATCACTCAAACTACCACCTGTGCATGATGTCACAGGATGGAGTGCAGGTGGAGAGTGCTCAAAGTCCAAGTGGCTAATGAAAACACTGACTTCAGAGACTGCAATGTGGGCTGGGGCTGCTTCTGGGTGTCCCTGAGAATGTGCATAAAGCAAATGACAAAGTCAAAGCTGTGAATTCCCAGAGATGAGTAGAAAATCCATGGCTGTTTTATTCGAGTCCATCTCTTACAGTTGCTGAGCTGAGAAGACTAAGGATAAAGCCCAGGGTTTGATGGCTAGGGTTGCAGAGCCAATTCAATATATAACCCTGCAAAGTCTCACGTGTTAACATACAGCACTGGCTGGAAAGGAGAATGACTTGAATCATAGACACAGGGATTTGGGTAGGTATAGATGAGGCTAAGAATGCTGAACCCCAAATTCAGCTGAAATTCCTTGCTGAAAACAGCTGCCTGTACCGCTCAGAGGAGACAACACCTCCCCCTCAGTAAAACTCTTTCAAGTTTTATTTGAAACTTGATGATGCTAATTGTCTTCCCTATCTACTCCCAGCATCTTTCATTGTCTCATAACCCAAAAGAGCCCAGAAAGAAGTTCCAAGTCTACTCTGGGAGAAGACTGCCTTTATACCAAAATATTTTAGGATCTCAACAATTTACTTACCAGTGGGAGTGTGGAGAGCACATATAGGAATATATTCAAAGGATCTTAGATCAAGGAGGACTAAATATAAGATTATTGTGGCCTCTTTTTTTTTTTTTGAGATGGGGGTCTCACTCTGTCGCCTAAGCTGGAGTGCAGTGGTACAATCTTGGCTCACTGCAACCTCTACCTCCAGGGTTCGAGCAATCCTCTCACCTCAGCCTCCCAAGTAGCTGGGACCACAGGCATGCACCATCATACCTGGCTAATTTTTGTATTTTTGGCAGAGACGGGGTTTCTACCATGTTGGCCAGGGTGGTCTAGAACTCCTGAGCTCAAGCGAACTGCCCACCTTGATCTCCCAAAGTGCTGGGATTATAGGCATAAGCCACTATGCCCAGTCTATTGTGACCCTTCAAACGGCCAAAGACATGTACTGTGGATCTTTCCCCAGGCCTTTCCTGAAAAGGGCCTGCAGCAATTCCCCAGGATGACTGTCCACTACAGAAAAGGGAACATATAATCTTCCCAAGGGTTACTGGATACTAGCTCTAAAATAACACTAATCTCCTAGAGACCCAAAACATGGTTTACAAGTCAGAGTGGGACTTTTTTTTTTTTTTTTTTTTTTTTTTTGAGACGGAGTTTCGCTCTTGTTACCCAGGCTGGAGTGCAATGGCGCGTTCTCGGCTCACCGCAACCTCCGCCTCCTGGGTTCAGGCAATTCTCCTGCCTCGGCCTCCTGAGTAGCTGGGATTACAGGCACGCGCCACCATGCCCAGCTAAGTTTTTTGTATTTTTAGTAGAGACGGGGTTTCACCATGTTGGCCAGGATGGTCTCGACCTCTTGACCTCGTGATCCACCCGCCTCGGCCTTCCAAAGTGCTGGGATTACAGGCTTGAGCCACCGCGCCCGGCCCAGAGTGGGACTTTCAGAGGCAAGGTAAAAGAATAAGTCTGAATCACAGTGGGTCCAATGGGACCACTGGCCAATCCTGTGCTTATTTCCCTAGTAACAGAATTGTAGTGGCAGTAGATATACTTAGTAACTGGCCAAATTGCCATATTGGTTCCCTGTCCCATGTCATTAAAGCTATAATGGGAGAAAAGGCCATGAAGAATCCTCTGGAACTGACTCCCCTTTTGCTACTAAGAAAGTAACCAAAAGCTATACCACATCCATGGAAGAAGCTCAGAAATCAGTACCACTGTCAAAAACTTAAAGGATGCAGGGATGTTGAATCTTCTTATATCCCCATTTAACTTGCCCATTTACCTAGGTCAAAGCTGCAAAGAACTTGGAACACGACAATAGATGACTATAAATTTAATCAGATGGTGATATCAATTACAAATAAGCTTGTAAATTTGGTATTGTTTTGCTAAAGAAAACTAGCATAACCCCCGGACACCTGGTATGACTACTGACCTGGTAAATGCTTTCTTTTCTAACACCATCTGTAAGGACAATGAGATGCAAATTGCATGAAGTAGCAGAAAGAGAGTATACCTTCACTGTCTCACCCGAGGGCTATGTCTGCATTGCCATAATATAGTCTGAAGAGTCCTTGATCACCCTGACAACCCATAGATCACCACACTGGTCCATCACATGGATAGCATTATCTTAACTGGACCTGGTGAGCCAGACCTAGCAAGCACCCTGGACACTTGTGTAAGACATGGACCCATGTCCCAAGCCAGAGAATGGGAGAAAAAACTCATGAAAGTTCAGGGATTCATCACATTGATGACTTCTAGGATTCCCCTGGTCTGAGCCAGGATATCCCGTCTCAGGTGAGAGAAATTACTACACCTTGCCCCACTTCCACTGAGAGAGAGGTAAAACAAACGATGAGTTTCAAAACTTGGATATGCTGTTCTGACCCTTTTACTGGGTAACCTATGAGGCTGCCAGTTTTTACTAAAGCCCATTCCAAGAGAAGGTTCTAGAGCAATGAAAGCTGCCCTAACCTTTGAGCCTATGCCTCAGCCCACCCAGTAGTACTGGACATGATATGGCAAACAGGAATGGGTTAATGACCCTTTCTCTGATAAG